CTCACCCTCCAATTCCCAGCCAAAATGGCTAAAAATTGCCCGCAATGTGAACAATTGCGGGCAATTTTTAGCCATTTTGGCTTGGAACTAGAGCCTGCGAGGTACATGGATAGTATCAGTACCTCACAGGCTCTAGTTCTCTATATGGCGCCGAGAAATTTTGGTGAAATGTGGTCGCATTTCACCAAAATTTTTTCGGCGCCATAGGATGAATTGGAGGGTGAGAGATATTATTTCATACAATACTACTCTCACCCTCCAATTCCCAGCCAAAATGGCTAAAAATTGCCCGCAATGTGAACAATTGCGGGCAATTTTTAGCCATTTTGGCTTGGAACTAGAGCCTGCGAGGTACATGGATAGTATCAGTACCTCACAGGCTCTAGTTCTCTATATGGCGCCGAGAAATTTTGGTGAAATGTGGTCGCATTTCACCAAAATTTTTTCGGCGCCATAGGATGAATTGGAGGGTGAGAGATATTATTTCATACAATACTACTCTCACCCTCAATTTTAATTACTTAAACTCATTCTATTTTTTTGACATGTAAATGTCACTTTTACTGAGATCTGACACAATGTCAGATCTCTTTTTTCGTATATAAGAGTATAAAACTCTTTCCATCTCATATTTGCATACCATGGTGGTAAGCCTAACGCAGCGTCATTTGACATGGCAGTTTGCATTTGTACATCTGTTGGCACTTGACCATAGTTTGCCATTGCAGTTTGTATTCTAACTTCATTTGGAATATTCTCTGGGTTTGGTTGTCCAGGTTGCTGTGCATTCGCTAAGTTCTGTGCGTCCATTTAATATTAGATAAAAATATCTCTTACGAGTACATATGCTGAACATTTGCTGGCATTGGTTCATCTTCATATTCTCTATATCTTTCTGCCACGTCAAATAAGTAAATGACACAATGGAAAAAACCTAAAACAAGAAGTCCTATTTCAAACCACATTTACTTACCAATAAAATTTCTTTGTTGTGACACTTTTTCCGGTTTATAGGACCTCTCTCATATTCTATCTTATCGTATCTAAAATCATACTCATGTATGTCCTCTAACCATCTCATGACACTTTCCAAACCACTTTTATCGGATGTAAAGTAAAAGCATGGATGGTTATGTAAAACGTCTAAAGTTTCTAAAGAGTCTCTCAAAGTCCAGTCTACTTGGTATTGAAAATCGCATGTGTTATAGAACGGCGGGTCTACTATAAAGAAAACATTTTCCTTGTTTTTATATTTTTCATACAACTCTGTCCAATGACATCTCACAAACTCTATACCCTCAGTATATTTTTCTATGTCCTCTTTGAAAACCTTTGTATAGTTAAGATATAAAACGTTTGACATAAGTGTTTCAATGTCATGAACTCTTATAGAACCACTATACAATAGTCTAGAAGATATACTATCCCAGTCAATATACTCTGCTTTTTTCAAAACCTCTCTGACAGTATTTTTCTTATCTAATGGTATACGTTCCATCTTACCTATAGGTATCTTTTCTTTTAACTCTTTCAATATTTTGTTTGTGTCTGGTATATGTTTGAGACGGTCCATATAGTTGTCGAAGTCATTGCATATAATCTTTGAGTCAAGAAATACAGTATGGCACAAATGAGATATATAGAAACTTCCACCGAACAAATCTACAAATGTTAGACCATTCGGTAGTTTCTTAAGTTCTCTCAATAGAATATCTTTACATCTACTCTTATTTCCAAAGAAGGGTAACGGTGGTTTTGTAAAATTCATTTTATATTTAATAAAAATGTTTTTTTCCTGAAAAGTGACAGAAAAGTGACGACTCTCAAAAATTTCTTAGGGGCTAGAGGGGCGCAGCCCTGGAAGCCCCAATCCCCCTTTTCTTAGTTTTGGAAAGGAAAAAGTAAAAAATTTAATAATTAATTTTATTACTATGAAAATATACTTTTTAGCTTATATTGTAAGCTGTGAGAGTTTTAAGTGATGGAAGATATAAATCAAATTTGAAATTCAACAAATCTTGTTATGATTAAGTTGAATATTGTACTCTAATTAAGAGTTTTCAGTTATGAACTCAGGTATTATATAATAAAAGTATAACTCAAGATAATAAAGAGGTTTTTAAAATGTAGATCTGAAAATCAAACTACCATGTTTGATATGATTAAGTTGAATAATGTTATTTTATTAAATGGTTCAAATCTGTGAAATCGGCAATTACAAATTAAAGGCGTAGTTCAAAAAATTAAAGAGATTTTAAAAATTTAATATCAGAATTAAACTAAAAAAAGGATTTAGTTATTTCAGTAATTATCAGAAAAGGTTAAAAAGATAGGGTAAGTAATGAGACTTGAGTGAGATGTGAGATATCATATGTAAATAATTAGATATCTGAAGATTAAGGTTGGAGAGTTAAGATCTGGTTAGTAAGGTAGTAATGAGAGTTAAGATCTGGTTAGTAAGGTAGTAATGAGAGTTAAGATCTGGTTAGTAAGGTAGTAATGAGAGTTAAGATCTGATGAGTAAGGTAGTAATGAGAGTTAAGATCTGGTTAGTAAGGTAGTAATGAGAGATCTGCGGGCAGTAATGATACATCTATGAGTACATAACTAAAACCTGAGTTCTATGAGCGAAATCTGAGAGCTAAAAGCCGAGAGATCTAAGGTAAGTCATGAGAGAAGAGAATTTGAAATTTTACAAAATACGTTTACTCATACAAAATAATTCGCATTCTTTTATAACGAATCTCAATGCCAATTAATACATAAAACAGATTTTAGCAATCAATTGTAAGATTTAGAAAGATTTTATTTATAATCTCAGCCAAATTAACAAATATTTTATTGATTTCGTAAAAAATAGCAATAAAACATAAAAATATGACATTCTATTTTTCCAAAAAAAATTTCAAAAATCATTTTTTAACATGAAATTTATATTTTTTAATATTATTTTTTAAATTTTGAATTTTTTTTGGAATTTTCAACCATGTCAAAAGTCGGGATCTACAAATGTATTCTCTTTGACATAGGATAAAAACATCCTTTCTTATAATTTCATTGTAAAATAAATTTTTCTTAAATTTATTGAATCCAAACTCAACTTTGCAACATTTTATTATCATAAAAACTAAGAAACATCAAGTAAACTTCAATTTGGAGAGCTTAAAATCATATCTAAATTGAAAAATAAGGAGGAAAAAATTGTAAAAAAAATCTCATTAGATGGGGCAAAAAGTGACTTTTTTAATGTGTTTTTTTAAAAAATCGTGCCAGCTGGCCAAAAAAGGTGTGCCAGCAGGCGTGCCAGTTTGTACAACCCTATTTCTGAGAAGCTGCAAGCCAATACAAAGTGTGAATACATATTTTAATAGGTTTTGATACTTTTTGTGCTTATTTTATAAGCCCGTAAAAAGTGTCAAACCTATTTAAGTATTTTTTCTCAATAATATCCATCTCAAGTAAGTAGTGTTAAAAGGTTTCCATACAATAAATATATTAAAATTAATTTTGCAATATTATAATATTTTAAAAATGCTGTATTATTGATGCGAATTTTGTATCTTTTCCAGACGACAATGATAATTTTGTCACTTTTCCAGACGACAAGAAAAAATCCTCTTTAAAAATCGTTTGATATTATATATTCCTTGAACCTTTAAATTTTCTGGAGTATGTGTATCTACAAAAACGGTAGCTATGCTAAAAAATCAGAATATTTTGACGCTAAATGTCGATTATATTCCATTAAAATTTAAAACGTGACAAAAGAATTCAAAAGCTTGGTGTTCACTGCAACGATATATAAACTTTATGTTGAAAGCATATTAAACTGCCATACCTTATAATATTATGGCGTGCCTTAGCTAAATACAGTAACTGAAGCATAAGATGCTTTTTAAACTTTAATATATCTATAATATGCATTATAACAACAAACGTAAAGTAACAATTATTGTATTATTCGCATTTCTCAAAAATGAATTTGGATGCCACTTTGGAACCCTTTAAATTGAAATCCAACTAGAAGTGTTTCGACAGAAAATTTGATAGAAAAGGGTAATTTTTCTTGCAGAAATAGAAAGTATATATTGTAAAAATAGTTACTGTGGAAGTCCCTAGTCCAGGAATACGATTATTTATCTGAAAAAATAAAATAATCGTCTGACAAGGGTAAATTTATTTCTTAACCATTATGTTTATTATAATAAGAGCTTCTTATTTGACATCTTTTTAAAAATTGTGATGAAGTAAACCTTTGAAAAATTCTCTTAAAATTAAATCCAAATTTAAAGAGAAAATTTGGATGTTTTTATAAGTTACATTTATTTGTGATTAATAATTCATTAAATTTTTAATATTTGGATAATTTGCAAATTTCTCAAAATTGCATTCATATACGATCTTCATACTTTAAAACATTTCCATATATCCATATATCTATTAATATACAAAGTGGCAATGAAAATTTCGAAATGAAAAACAATTTTAAATATATTTGAGTGTAAAAAGTGATAGATTCGATAACAAACAAGACCATTATATTTATTATGCCACATGATATTTACTCACCAAGCCACAGGCTCGGGCGTTGAGGTCTGGGGTCGAAACACTTCTATCCAACTCTTAAATTTTTGTAGGTAAAACTAACTATTTATATTTGAAATAGTTTAAAATTCTTAACAAACAGTTATAGTATATTCAAACTATGCTATAAATGTGACATTATTATATTTAATGGAATTAAATTAGTAACATAGATCATTTTGAACTCCGAGTTATTAGATAAATTAAAAGGAACAAAACAAGTTAGCTATAATCAAACAACAAATACCTACACATTCGATTACCCGTGCATATCTCATTACAATTGCACTGATTACGTTATTACTCTTCAACCAGGATTCTATAAATTCGAGTTATATGGGGCTTCTGGCGGTTTTTTGTCCAATGCCTTGTCATCTCATATTGATGAAAATGGAAATTGCATAAATACAGAAATAATGGACCAATTCCACGGAAATACCGTTTGCAGAAAAGTAGCAAGCCGAGGTGGAGCTGGCGGCTATATATCCGGCAACATCAAAATTTTCAAAGAAATAACCGCGTATGCGACAATAGGCGGTAAAGGGATATATGATGAAAACCCTTTCCATACCCACAAAGGTGGCTATGGTGGCGGTGGTGATGCTTTGAACTTACCAGGCTATGGTTCAGGAAGCGGAGGTGGGCAAACCGCTGTCAAGTTTGTGTCAAATGATTTGTGGCACCGCGTGATCGTGAGCGGCGGTGGAGGCGGCTCTGATAATTATGCGGATCACACCCAAATGTATACTGTTGACGATGGCTCCGGAGGATCTGGAGGCGGATTTACTGCCCCTGGAGCATGGAGAGAAGGAAAATATGACGCATCGAAATCAGCCAATTCCACTTTTGGTTTCAGCTTTGGCTATGGCGAATCCTCTCGCCGTGATGGATCTTTGAACAAAGAATATGGATACACAAATCCTGCTTGTGAATACGAATGCTCAGGCGCTGGAAGTGGCTGGTTTGGAGGCTTCGCTTCTCAGGATGGAAATAGCGGTTCCGGAGGCGGAAGTTCTTGGGCTTTAACTAAAGATGCAGTAATTCCATCCGGTCCAATTACAGCCTATGATTCATCTTATAACCCAATTCAAACGCGTTCCTATGAATTCATTGACCAAAATGAATTTTTGTTTACTGATGTCAAATCTATTTCGGGAATCTGGGAAGGGAACGGAAAACTTTTGATAACAATCATAAATGCCATGGTTGTCATTTCATGTGTCTCACGACGAAATAATTTTTATGGATTTTCACTTTTTCTTTTATTTGAAATTTCACCCACTTAATAAACAATAATACATGAAAATATATATATTTACAAAATATTGGGTCTTACAATCTGAGGAAAAATTCATAATTCATAATAAATTTGCTTTGTGTAAAAACAATTAATAGATTCATAATCTCTGATAATTAAGAATACTGTTTATAATAAAATTATAAGCTAATTCCGCCATGATATGTCAACTTCATTATCATTGTTTAATACGAAGTTTCAAATTTCTCAAACTTGCATTCTGGGCATTAACGTGCCCAGAATGCTAAAAGGCGCATAGCTCCGATGTTCAATTCACATTTATTATAATTATTATTTTCTAAAAATTGAATAGTTATTACAAACTGCTGCATTACACCAATTTATTTAACTTCTAGATTCATAAAACTCAAATGAGATAACATTACAGTCTTGACGAAAAAATCTTGAATAATACAAGTATCTAGACGAAAATTCTATTTTCTTCAGCTTTTTAATTGTTACTGCATCACTTCATATCCATGGACTTAATCAAAACTCATAAATTATATCCAAAATCTTTAATGTAATTGTTTTATACATGTATAACTTAGTATTTTTTTTCTTCTAATGAATTTAAGCGGTATTTAATATGGCAATACGTAAATGTGTCCTTCCAAAAAAATTATTAATGTCCGAACAAGACCTTCACCCAAGCAAATACAACAAATTGCGGAGTATCTACAAATACTATATCTATTCATATATTGCGTTGTATCAGCTAAAAACGGAAAAAGAAGAAGAATTAAAGTCAATTTACAAAATGATCAAAACAGAATTGATTGATTCAAAGAAATATCACCCAACAAATGCTATTAAAGACATTTTAAATATCATTCCGTATAATAATCGCTATACAAAGTCATATTTATTTCTTGCCAAACTAATCTGTGATGATTACCATGTCACAGAGGTCAGAAGCGTTGCAACTATTCCAAACTTCCTGTTTTATAAAGAATATGGAATTAAATTATACAAATCTGATAATTTCGAAAAAAATAAATCAGAAAATCTCAATATTCATACAGAAAATACAATTTACAGGGCAATTATGTATAATGACCTAGAAACATTCATCTCATTCACTGAACGAGATGGATTTGATAAAGACCAAACACTTAAAAGCAAATTATTCACAAAATCTTATAATGGATATTCATTACTTGAATTATGTTGTTACCATGGAGCAATTGATTGTTTCAAGTTATTAAGATCGAAATTTAACTCAGAAATAACTAAAACATGTCTAGAATTTTCATTTTTAGGCGGAAATCAAGAGATCATGAGTGAATGTTTGAAACATCAAACACCAAATGAAGAATGCATGAGATACGCAATTATTTCACACAACATTGATTTTGTTACATTCTTGAAGAATGAGTACAATATAGAGATCAATTTAGAATACTGTGGAATTTACAATAATCTTGAATCCTTTTTAGTTTATTTCGATCAAACTAATGATATAAACAAATGTTTCTTTTATTCAGCGACATTTGCTGTCCCATCCTTTTTGGAATACTTCCTTTCACATGGTGCGAATATCAATGAAAAAATTGAATATGGAAAAACAGCACTTCATATTGCAGCAAAAAATAATAGAAAAGAAATAGCAGAAGTTCTTATATTACATGGTGCGAATATCAACGAAAAAGATGAATTTGGAGAAACAGCACTTCATATTGCAGCTTGGAAAGATAGTAAAGAAATAGCAGAATTTCTTATTTCACATGGTGCAAATATCAATGAAAAAGATAAAGAAGGAAAAACAGCGCTTCATATTGCAACAAAAAAATAATAGTAAAGCAACAGCAGAAGTTCTTATTTCACATGGTGCGAATATCAACGAAAAAGATGAATTTGGAGAAACATCACTTCATATTGCAGCTTACAATGATAGTAAAGAAATAGTAGAAGTTCTTATTTCGCATGGTGCGAATATCAATGAAAAAGATGAAGAAGGAAAAACAGCGCTTCATATTGCAGCAATTTATAATAGTAAAGAAACAGCAGAATTTCTCATTTCACATGGTGCGAATATCAACGAAAAAACTAATAATGGAAAAACCGCACTTCATATCGCAGCAGACAATAATAGAAAAGAAACAGCAGAATTTCTTATTTCACATGGTGCGAATATCAATGAAAAAGATATATATGGAAAAACAGCACTTCATATTGCAGCAAAAAATAATAGAAAAGAAATATAGGGTGTCCAAAGGTGCGTTTAGCACAGCGCTCTATATGAGACTATTAAAGGAGATATATGCTGATTATAAATATATAATAAAAAATATGAATATATGTATATGATGAGTATGTTGTATTTTGGCGCCATGCCGGGATATAAAATGAATTTTGAGACAAGAGGCGGTTTCGCGGGAAATTTTGGCGGGATTCTTTTCATTTTTTTAATGAATCATAAAGAAAACATCCTCGCTCTTGCAAAAAAATGCAAAGACTGTAAAAAAATCTACGAGACATTGGTAAAATGCTTCGGTATGGATGCTCCTAGCTATTCCACTGTAACGTATCATGTTAGGATGTATCACTTCATGAACAAAAAGGCGCCCATCATAAAAATTGACAAAAAATCGCCGGATCAAAGAAAAATCAAAGCAATTCTTCAAGCGCTAGATGAAGACCCAAGAGCATCACTTAGAAGGATAGAGGAGATGACAAAGATACCACGTACAACAGTCAGTTATTATCTGCACAATTATTTGAACTACAAACTAGCGTATACACGTTGGGTTCCGCACAACCTTAATTCAGTTCAAAAAAAATCTAGAGTCCAATCTTCGAAAGAGCTCCTCTCTATATTGGGTGCGTATCAATCCAAGAAGTTTCGCTTTTTAGTAACAGGGGACGAGTCTTGGTTTCAATATGCAACAGAAGCCAAAATCATGTGGATCCCGAAGGATGAAAATCCGCAAACATTCCCGAAGAAAAAAATTGACACACCAATGATTATGTTGTCGGTTTTTTGGGGCGTAAATGACATCATCGCAATTGATATTCTTCAAAAACCTAATACGATGAATGCTCAGTATCTAATTGACAATGTTCTTACTCAAATTATCAATTCTGATGAGTTTGAGAAATCCAAACAACAAAAACAAAAGTTTGCAATTCATTTTGATAATTCAAGAGTTCACAAAAGTCATAAGGTAATGAATTACTTGGTGGAAAACAATGTCAAAGTTGTTCCAAACCCAATTTATTCACCTGATATTGCACCCTCTGACTTTTATTTATTCGGCACGCTAAAAAAGAGAGCTGAAGGACGCGAATTCGCGAGTCCAGATGATCTTGAAAATTTTGTAAGAGAGCAATTTGAGAAATTTTCTCATGATGATTTAAAGCGTGTCTTTCAAGCCTGGATCGATCGCTGCGAACGCGTGATTGAATCCAATGGTGATTATATTTAAATAAACTTTATATATATGTAACTTGTTTATTTCTATTCGCAGTATTCAGGTTTGTGCTAAACACACCTTTGGACACCCTATAGTAGAAGTTCTTATATTACATGGTGCGAATATCAACGAAAAAGATGAATTTGGAGAAACAGCACTTCATATTGCAGCTTGGAAAGATAGTAAAGAAATAGCAGAATTTCTTATTTCACATGGTGCAAATATCAATGAAAAAGATAAAGAAGGAAAAACAGCGCTTCATATTGCAACAAAAAAATAATAGTAAAGCAACAGCAGAAGTTCTTATTTCACATGGTGCGAATATCAACGAAAAAGATGAATTTGGAGAAACATCACTTCATATTGCAGCTTACAATGATAGTAAAGAAATAGTAGAAGTTCTTATTTCGCATGGTGCGAATATCAATGAAAAAGATGAAGAAGGAAAAACAGCGCTTCATATTGCAGCAATTTATAATAGTAAAGAAACAGCAGAATTTCTCATTTCACATGGTGCGAATATCAACGAAAAAACTAATAATGGAAAAACCGCACTTCATATCGCAGCAGACAATAATAGAAAAGAAACAGCAGAATTTCTTATTTCACATGGTGCGAATATCAATGAAAAAGATATATATGGAAAAACAGCACTCCATATTGCAGCAAAAAATAATAGAAAAGAAATAGTAGAATTTCTTATTTCACATGGTGCAAATATCAATGAAAAAGATGAAGATGGAAAAACAGAACTTCATATTGCAGCAGAAAATAATAGTAAAGCAACGGCAGAAGTTCTTATTTCACATGGTGCGAATATCAACGAAAAAGATGAATATGGACAAACCGCACTTCATATTGCAGCTTACAATGATAGTAAAGAAATAGCAGAATTTCTTATTTCACATGGTGCAAATATCAATGAAAAAGATGAAGATGGAAAAACAGAACTTCATATTGCAGCAGAAAATAATAGTAAAGCAACGGCAGAAGTTCTTATTTCACATGGTGCGAATATCAACGAAAAAGATGAATATGGACAAACCGCACTTCATATTGCAGCTTACAATGATAGTAAAGAAATAGCAGAATTTCTTATTTCACATGGTGCAAATATCAATGAAAAAGATGAATATGGACAAACCGCACTTCATATTGCAACAGAAAATAATAGTAAAGAAATAGCAGAGGTTCTTATAGAGTGTGGTAGAATTTACGAAAAAGTGACACTAGAAAAAGTGACACTTAACCTTAAATTACCAAACACTATTTTTTGATTGTATTTTGTTATTTATATATTTATATATATATGTATATATGTATATATTTATATATGCATATATTTATATATGTATATATTTATATATGTATATATTTATATATGTATATATTTATATATGCATATATTTATATATGTATATATTTATATATGTATATATTTATATATGTATATATTTATATATGTATATATTTATATATGTATATATTTATATATGTATATATTTATATATGTATATATTTATATATGTATATATTTATATATGTATATATTTATATATGTATATATTTATATATGTATATATTTATTAGAAACTGCTTCATGCTGCATTGAGTATTGTTGAATAATTTGAAGTAGTGGTTTTTGAAATCAGCACCCTATGAGAGCGCTGGCGACCGAAACACCACTAGTAAGATTGTGTATTAGAAACTGCTTCATGCTGTGTTGAGTAAGCTTCGATGTCTTTGTAGGATAGCTTTCTGAGAGCGAAACAAGATAGTGTTGAAAAAAATTTTGAAAATCTGAGAGACTGTGCAAGAGCCAACGACCAAAACACTACCAGTAAGATACAGCAGTAGTAGCTGCTTCATGCTGCATTGAGTATTGTTGAATAATTTGAAGTAGTGGTTTTTGAAATCAGCACCCCTATGAGAGCGCTGGCGACCGAAACACCACTAGTAAGATTGTGTATTAGAAACTGCTTCATGCTGTGTTGAGTAAGCTTCGATGTCTTTGTAGGATAGCTTTCTGAGAGCGAAACAAGATAGTGTTGAAAAAAAAATTTTGAAAATCTGAGAGACTGTGCAAGAGCCAACGACCAAAACACTACCAGTAAGATACAGCAGTAGTAGCTGCTTCATGCTGCATTGAGTATTGTTGAATAATTTGAAGTAGTGGTTTTTGAAATCAGCACCCCTATGAGAGCGCTGGCGACCGAAACACCACTAGTAAGATTGTGTATTAGAAACTGCTTCATGCTGTGTTGAGTAAGCTTCGATGTCTTTGTAGGATAGCTTTCTGAGAGCGAAACAAGATAGTGTTGAAAAAAAAAATTTTGAAAATCTGAGAGACTGTGCAAGAGCCAACGACCAAAACACTACCAGTAAGATACAGCAGTAGTAGCTGCTTCATGCTGCATTGAGTATTGTTGAATAATTTGAAGTAGTGGTTTTTGAAATCAGCACCCCTATGAGAGCGCTGGCGACCGAAACACCACTAGTAAGATTGTGTATTAGAAACTGCTTCATGCTGTGTTGAGTAAGCTTCGATATCTTTATCAGACCACCTTTAAATTAACCACTCACATTCTCACTGTGGTCCATCTAAAATTTGTAAACTTTATGACATAAAATTATATTATATGCAGGATCCCACCTATTACTTAATCTTTTTGGAATAAATGTTTTATAATATTTATCGATTGATTGTAATTTTTTGTATAAAAAAGTTTTTTATTTATATTAAAAATATATTCGGTTAATGATATTATCTTATAATTTGTAAATAAATCTAGTAATAAAATAACTTTAATAGTTGGTGTCACTTTTTCGAAAATTCTGGTTTTTCCATGAAAAAGATGAATATGGACAAACCGCACTTCATATTGCAACAGAAAATAATAGTAAAGAAATAGCAGAGGTTCTTATATTACATGGTGCGAAAAAATAATGCTCTTATATAAGATATTCTTTAGTTTTCTGGTATTCTCGAAGAAGATTTTCTGATTGATAGTAAAATAATCGTTTTTGTCCATTTTTTTGCACTTGAGTTTGTTAGATGTGATTAGTGATATTACATTCATCCTCGTGAAGTTGCACATGAATTCAATGGATACAGTCTTCCAAAAATACACTCCATGTTTAGGAAGAGATTCAATTTGAATAGTTTTACGCCAACGAAATAAAATATGTAGAACAAAAAACCGACCAAAAGTCGACATTTCACAAATTTTGTTAAACTTCAGACAGAATTGAACTCAAAATACAAGCCTATTCAATGGAATATCATTGAAATGTGCAAGTAATTTGCTGAAACATTATTTTTGATTGCCAGTAGAGGATCAATCGTTTTTCAATCTCTATTTATGAGAGAAATGGATTCCATTGTAGTATTTTTTGTTCTACATCATGCAATTTCTTTCTTTCCAAAAATGTAGGTTTAGAGATTTCAATTCCCCCTCCATTCTATTGCTTCAATATATCTGATTTCAGCCCTTTCTTGTATCATAAAAAGTAATTTTGTACATAAAATGCATTGGTTGTTTCATATCTTTCTTAAAAAAATAAACCCGCTATTCTGCCTAATGTCTCAATTACCAACTCCTCTCCTCAATGTGGAGTAGGTGTATCGACAAAAATGGTGGCAATGCTGAAAAAAATCGGAATATTTTGACGCTAATTGTTGATTGTATTCCATTATAAACTTTAAAACGTGCCAAAAGAATTCAAAAAATCATGTGTTCACTGCAACGATATGTAAACTTTATGTCATTTTTCATGTTTTCCAATTTTGGACCTTTTTCCATATCAAACATTTGAAGTTCTTTTGGAAAAATTAATTAGTGTTGATATATTTTTATTGATATAGAGAGAAGTGCCTCCACTCTAAATATAGAGAAAAGAGTCTGTTTTCTCTAGAATCATTTTAAATTTTCTATTAAAATGCATTTTTTGGAAATTTCTATTTCTAGAGAGTGAGTTTAAAATTAAAGAGCTGTTCAATCGGCCAAAAGCATAGTATTCATGAGGAATGCAAAAATATCAACAGGCTAACTTTTTGCTATTCAATTCGAGGTTTATTTAATATGTTATTGAATATTTTAGGTATATTTTGGTTTGGTATAAAAGGTAGATATCAGCAATAAATGATTTGATGTTTAAAAACATCTTTCAAATATAAGTAAAATTTAGCGGTTTGGCCGGTCCTTTTCGAATGTCTGAGGAACAACAAAAGGTTCTTGCTCCAAAGCGTGAATGCGGTCTCCACTCATCTGGCAAGCGCGTTAACTTCGCTCGCAAGATTGTCCACGAACTTGTCGGCTGGCAGCCATACGAGCGCCATACAATGGATCTTATCAAGATCGAACGCCGCCGTGCTGCTCGTCAGTTCCTCAAGAAGCGCCTTGGCACACACCGCCGCGCTATGAAGAAGCTTAACACTCTTGAAGAAGTTGTTCAGGAAGAATCCCTCCACCACCACCACGAGTAAACTTGCTTTTTATAAAACAAACATAAATTCTACAGACCTTCCAAAGGATATTAAAATTACAAAATTATTAAAAAAAATATACATTTTTAAAATAAAATAACAAACAAAACTTTATACATCTATTATTGTTCTGTAAATTGTAGTTGCGACCACTTAGGAGCGCAAACTTGGGGAGGAGTAGTTGTTATCATTTTTGATGAGATATTGAAGAAATTTGTTGGAGCTGAAAGCTTAAGCATTGGAGTTCCTGGCTTCATTCTTGGTGGAACTTGTTCATTAGCTAATGTTGGGGTTACTTGGTAGTCGCATTCAACAATTTTTTCATCATCAGAACTTGAATCGTCTTCATCGTCTCCATTTGGCGAAAGGAAATATAACTCCTGTTTTACATAAGATGTGACAGGAGAATCGGAGCCAAGAAACATATGGAACAAAGTTTCTCCGCATTTTGCTCCGATTTCTTTCCACAAAACTTCATCGTAAAGAATTCCAGCACGTGGACCACTCTGCATACCGCCGAAACTTGTTTCTATAGTGAAACTCTGAACAACGTCAGCTTGTGTTCGAACAACGATTCTTGAGGCTGCTTTTCTTCCTGGAGGTATTGAAAAGACGCAGTTCGACCATGAAAACGTATCGCAGAGGAATGCTAGCATCCTTGGGAACAGTTTCTCTTTGTCTCTCAAATTTGGATTATCATCATTAGGACAGCCATAAGCAAATGTACCATGGAGGCGGGAGTGACCGTGGAAGTCAATATACGCAGCAATTGTACGTTCTTTGGCACTCTGGAAGATGAAATCCTTGATCTTACACACAATTGGTTGTATTGCAGGGTCCGGATTTATCCAGACCCTGTTTAAATCTTGGCCACCGAGTGAAATTCTGTAAAAGCCTTCTACGACGCCATCGATGTTAACCATGGGGACAATCCTTATTACGAAGTTGTCCCTGAGATATTGGGCTCCAGGAGCGTTTGATACGAGGTAATCAATAAGACCGTGTAGGACAACGCTGCCGTTCGACTCGCCAGGATGTATACGGCCGGTAAAGAATAGGCATGGACGGGCTTCCATAGGGATATTTGATTGGGGTGAGGTTATCTGGATATATGGGCAATCTCGGCCACCCAAAGTTTTCCCTAATGTTCCAGTAGTTAAGGATCCGAAGGGAGAAACCTTCTGCCAGTTGTTAATGTAATTCAATAAATCGGTATATGTATAAGGAAGAGCGTAGCAGAAGTAAACTGTGTCGTTATCGTATGGGAATTTGATTTGGAATTGCAATGTAGATCTTTTATCTTTCTTTTTATGCTTTGATAAGCCATATGCGTAATTTGTGCCGCCTCTGCACCAGGAGTAACCTTGTTTTTGGTACTGTTTCTCACTGTACCAGAAAATCTTTGCACCTGTTGAAAAAAGACCTGTATTTTTATGAAATCCTGAAATAAAAAACGTATATTTTGTATCTGCCCTAATGTTTTGCATTTTGAAATAGAACCATTGACATGACCCTGACTTGTTCTTATCGTATTCGAGAATACAATGATAAACATCTGGAGAAAGTAAGTAAACTTGTGATAAATTTCCGCTTTCGAAGAATGAGTCAAAAATAAGTGTTTTATCGTTAGGATTTGTCCCAGTAGGCTGGTTTCTCGTTCCATTTTTAAGATCGTATATTAAAACTCCCGAGTTCCAAAGATCATCTGGCCATTTTGGACGTTTTGCTTGAGTTGCAAAAGAATAATGCTCGGGAGGAGGTACACCTGGATGAGATATATGAATTGAGCCTCTGTTTGTCGATGGGATAATCTCTGGTGGCGAGTCATCCTCATCACTGCTATCGCTGCTCATTTTTAATCCCCACGCCCCTAATTTTTGCCAATTTTGTAAAGTTTTCAAACATGATACGGGATTTATTGAATGGCCAAATAAGACCTATCGTCGCAGAAATTATAAAGAGATATTTATTGAGATTTGGAATGTTTCTCATTCAAATGTAGCACTTAGTAAATCTAAATTTTCTCTCTTTGCTGTATTTATATCCTTTCAATAAGAATCGATGAATTCAATGTTGAAATTTTAATAGTTTTTCCTATTGATCCAACACGTTTCTGGACATCTAATATATGGCATCGAACATGATGCATAAGGATGCTCAGGTTTTCATGAAATGTTATTCAAATATGTTTTAACCTTATTATTCATGCTAAAATGCAATATCCATACCTTGTAACCTCAAATTATTCAACTCTCCAAACATGAATCTTTTCCTGAATTGAAATGAGCAAAATTTTCATAAATTGAATACAAATTTTTATGGAACCTTCTCAAGACAATAAAACTGCCGAAAACGATCATGAAGAGTTTGAAGTGGAGTCTATAGTCGATCATAGATGGGTACTTGGCCATTTAGAATATCTTATAAAATGGAAAGGACTATTTGAAAGTGAAAATACTTGGACTGAAGAATCAAAAGTCACAAATAAAGAAGCGATTGCGTCATATATCACTAAAAAATCACAGATTACGCACGCCCAAGCTTTGCAAGCAGCTAACGATAATTCAGATTCTGAAAATTCAATTCCAGAAGAGAAAAAAGCCATGGTATTACCACCTGTTCCAAATGTTCAAGTTGCGCAAACTCAGCAACCCGTTTATCCACAAGCAATGATTATTCCTTACGAATTTCATCATATCAACATAAATATTAAAAATGACCAATTGGTTTGCTTTGGCATTACAAAGTCAAATCAATCTATACCGATATCTCCAGATTACGCTCGAGTGTATTACCCAGTTCTTTTTCAAAAAGCTGTTAGTCTCTATTTGAATAAGAAATGATCAATAATTAGATGTGCAACTGTTGTTCAATTAATTATTTTCTTATTTATTTCGTTTTTGTATGATATATTTTTTAGATATCTATAAATATGACTTGTTATGTTTCTTTGTTTTAGAATTATATCAGTATTACTATTTTAACAATTTTTATATTCTCTATGATATCAATTTTTGAACAAATTAAAATGGAATTCAATTATCAATACGTACAGATTAATAATAATAAAGGTTATCATGTTCCCCTTTTATAATCATGAAACGCTAATCATTGCAATAAAATATAGTTCTTATGTTGTAAATATTCAAAAATTAGGAAGAATTTTATCAAAATTGTTTAATAATGCTTATTCTAGTAATTCTTGATTAAAGTAGCTAGGATTATTGCATTTTCAATCAGTTTCAACGTCGAACGAAAATTGCCAAAATTCATACGTTTTTTTAGAAGATTTATGAAAAAATCGAAGGAAAGTCTCGAAAATCTCGAAGAAGTTTCCTCAAGGCCGGGTTCAGATGAATCCGCAGCAAGGCAATCGTATTCTCGTCCATCGAATCCTTTCAGAATTCCAGACGATAAAGAACAATTTCAACTTCATGAAACTATGAGGAATTCAATGAAAAAATCTAGATCAAGACTTCTCGACATACAGCCAAATCGCGAAAATTTCCGTCATCTGACCCAAGTAACAACTCAACCGATTTCAGCTGAAGAAAAAGCTCTTGATGCACTTATTCCAGCACCAGATTCTTCAAAGAATAGAGAAGGTCTACGAGAATTCATTTCACAAAAAAGAGAAATCTTTCTTGCACAACTTGCAATTGATACAAAAAGAGAAGAACTTCAACGCCTAGAGAAACTTGAGAAGGAAGAAGAGGCTGCATTAAAGGCTAAGGCTGCTGAAATAAACTTATTCAAGACACAATTCGCAAATTTCATAGAATCTGATGGTAAAGCTACAATGGAAGCACGATCATCAGCAGAACGTAAATCTAAAGAAAGACTACAAGTTTCAATGAAGATTAAACAAGTTTCAAGCCAAATTTCCACTTTACGAAATGAAATTGCTCATCAAGACGAAAAACTTGCCGAATGCCAACAATACCAACAATTCTTAGAATCCTTAACACCTCCTGATTGGCGTGCTGCCCATCCTAACGAGATGTACTTTAAAGATCCAGAGCAATTAATTACAATTATCATTTCTTTAGAAGAACAGAACATGTTTTTGATCAGACATTGCCAAGAGGCCGAAGAAGCAGTCGAGCGCTACAGAGCTAAGTTCAATGACCTGTTGCAGAGTCGTGAAGGTGGTTTAAAGGAAATGATGAACAACAAAGAGGAGAAAGAGAAAGAGTTAATGCAGGCAAGGGAAAACAATGGTCAATACAAAACAGATGGAGCATTTCATTATGGAAATGAGTTAAATGATGACGAATATAATCAAATTCAGCAAGATATCATCATTTTCCATAAGAGTCTTGGTTTTGATATTGCAAGTTCAACAGATATCTCAATGATGCTCAGAAGAATCGAAAATAAGATGGAACAATTAATTTTGAAACTTGAAAAAGCAGAACCATCACATGTAAAAGCTCTTGCACTTGAGAAAGAGAGAGAAAGAAGAGATCTCAAGAGAACTAAGGATCAGGAGGAGAAGCAGCAAGCACAAGCCGAGAAAGTTAGAAAGGCCATTGAATTGGCTAACAAGCCTATCGAAAGAAAACTTGGAAGACCTGTTGTTGAAAGAATTATTCCAAAGAAGGGTCAAACACGTCAGGAAGAAGAAGACAGAGCGAGAAAGGAAATGATGGAGAAAGAAGCAGACGAACAACTCTTGTTCGGACAGATTTGGGATTGATTATTATTTATTTATGTGTTATAGTTGTTATTTTAAACTTTACGTCTAGATATTAGTAAAAAATGTTTTTATATTAATTTTATAATATCAACCTCTGATTGTTGTTTATTCCACACATTGATTTGATTTAACAAATTACAGTCATTTTTTAAAAGTACTGACACTTCAAATCTGTTAAATACCTCAAATAAGTTTCCATTAATATCATTAAAAAATTCTTGTATAAAAGGTAATATATCAGCAATGTTTAATCGTGTCCATGATGTTTTCTGGGGAATTATCCTCATTGTTAATGGAAATATTTGTGCAGAGATGGAACATTGAAACCCATTGAATAAACTCTGCATTTGTCTGTATCTTTAGTTTGATCAAAGTAAACTAAAAATGCTTCAAGATTATTACACCATCCACAATAAGATAAATCGATCTTTAAATCATGCTCATTCATCAATTGTGTAACAAAATCAATGTTATGTGAAATAATTGCATATCTCATGCATTTTTCATTTGGTTCATGATATTTCTTGCATTCAAACATGATATCTGGATTCCCTCCTAAAAATGATAATTCTAGACATGTTTTAGTTATTTCTGAGTTAAATTTCGTTCTTAATAACTTGAAACAATCAACTGCTCCGTGGTAACAACATAATTCAAGTAATGAATATCCATTATTGCAAATTGGATATAACTTGTTTTTAAGTGTTTGATTTTGATCAAATCCATCAATTTCTGTGAATTGAATGAATGCTTCTAAGTCATCATACATGATTGCTTTGTAAATAGTATTCTCTGTATGAATTTCAAGACTTTCCGATGAAATTTCTCTGAAATCAGCAGATTTGTTTAATTTAATTCCGTATTCTTTATAAAATAGATAGTTTGAAATGATATAAATATCGTTGATCTCTGTGATATGATAATCATCTAAAATGAGGTTTACAAGATATAAATATGACTTTGTATACCGATTATTATAAGGAATAATTTCAAAAATATTTCTTATAATTTTTGTGGCGATGCTTGGATTTGTTTCAATCAAATCTGTTTTGATCATTTTGTAAATTGAGTCTAAATCTTCTTCTTTTTCTGTTTTCAGCTTATACAACGCATTATATGAATTGATGTGGCATTTATAAATGCTTCGCATTTCCCAGTATTGATCAGACATGAAATCTAAATTCACAATTCTAATTTCAAAGGTAAATCGCAAAAATTTTTTCCAGAGTTAAAAATAAAAATCATATGCATATGAAACATAATCTAAATTTTCAATTTTTAACTCTGGATTAAAATTTGTATCAAAATTCAATTCTGAGCAATGTTTGAAAATTTAAATAAACCACCTTCTCTTGAATTTTTTGGGAAAATTTTAAATGATAAAATTATGTATGTTATGTCAAATCTTAATATTACATCCGAAATAAAAAATTAAAATTTGCTTAATCAATGTCAATCAATCGAGATGATGCCAATTAGAATTAAGTGCTCTGAATTCAACTAAGCTCGTACGATATGGTTTTCAATTAATGATCAATGAAATTTTAAGCTAATTGTCATAAATTAAACTAAGTTTCCTTTGCAAAGTTTTTTATACGATTTTTTGAAATAGTTTTACTTGACAATAAGCGAAATAATAAAGCAAAGAGATTTTGAGTAGGAAAAAGAGTTAAATTAATATTAAATTTTGATTATCAAAAAAGAAAAATAAACAAGTTTATTTGATATCATACAACGTTTTTGTTGCATGTACTGTGCACAATCGTTTTGTCTTTTCTCAAAACAAAATCAGATTCAATTGGTTGGAAACAAACTGAACAAATTGGAGCACTAAATAGAGTAATTTTTGATGTCCTTGATTTATCGTAATTCTTTAATTCTGTGTCAAGAGTTGAACCCATTATTGCCAAAGATAATTTTTCTTTTGCAATTTCTTCTCTTCTTTTCACTGTAATTCCTTCAAAGAAATCTTTGTATTCAACCAGTTTAGTATTTGGTGGTATTAAATCTATAACAGCATCAGGATTTATGTATTGATATCTTGTATTAAGTATTTTCTTGAATAATTCGTTCTTTTGGGGATTTCCTGATATTTTTACAGCTAAATTAGTATAAATATCATCGTTTTCGTTAAGAATATAGTCACAAAAAGTGAAAACAATTTTTTCATCTTTTGATTCCGACATTATTTCAACACAAGTATCATAATTCTTCGAGCGAGCAAATATAACTAATCTTTCTTCAACTAAATACGGTGGAACTCTATGAGAGAATGTGGCAGGATGATAAGATTGACTGTTCTTCAAGAAAGAAAGTAGATTTCGCCTGATATTCTTGATGTTTTCGTTCTTTTCGTTTTCAATTGAGATGCTTTCAGTTCTATTTTCTGTTTTTTCGATGATGGTTTCTAATGCTGATAAATAAGAAGAAATGAGTCGATGATGAACTTCATTATCTTGCATGTTTCTTTGAAATATGCAGAATTCAAGAAAAGAAATCTCCATTTTGTCGATATCTTGTTTCGTAACGAAATGACAAGTATCAATGAACTTCAAAACATCAAAAACTGTACCAGATATAACATTTGGTGAGAAAAACATATGTACTGCATCAATTCCAAATGAAGTATAGACAGGTTCGAATATTTTCTTTCCATTGACAAAAAACTCCTGTGATTTTTGAACATAATCGATGATATCACTCCATTTTCCATCCTTTCGAAGTTCTTCTAAGTATGCATAATCATTTGAAAGTTGAGAATTCATTAATTTGTTGAAAAAGTGGCAAAAATATAATTTGATTCATCTTGGAGTCAGAATAACACAAGTTAAGGAATCATTTCATTTAGATCTCAATGATAGCATAATATAAGAATTCAAGTGTATTAGAAAACAAGTATGAAATTATTCATATTCTCAAATCCTATATCAAATATTCTAAATGTTAATATGAATGCATAAGCTATCATTTTAAACTTGCTCGGTGCTTGTTTATAATTCATTGGCATAATTTGCTTGACAAAAACATTAAATTTTATGTATTTGATGAGTGTTTGTTTATAATTCATTGGCATAAATTAAATGTCAGATAAAAATAAAAAGCAAACTTCTAAAATTAAATATAATGAGTTTAAATAACAATATAGTCACTTCTCAGTAGACAAATTTCAACGATAAGTAATAAAAAATTTATAAAGGGCTATTAATTGCGAATTTCTTTCCTTCATAAACTTCAATTGCTTCACTGATAATTTGCATAAGTTGTTTTTGATTAAGCTGGCGAATTAAACGACCTTTTAATTGATCTGACTTTGTTTGATCGTAAACTTGCCCTTCAGGAACAAAGTAAATGAAATATGGTTTTGCTTCTTCATCATCCTCTATTTGATCAGGATTTGGAGTTGAAAAAACTATCAATGTTGGGAAACCTATTGGAATTCCTTCTGTAAAGCAAAATTGGACACTTGCATCCTGATCGACATAAAATGCTTTAACCTTGTCAGGATTTTCGATTGCTGTCATTGCTTGTTTCAATGCATAAAAAGTATATCTGCAAAGCGGAGACCATATTGTACCAAGGAGAATGATATTAACAGGCTTTCCGTTTGTTGAAATTTCTTTGATTACATCATCAATATTTGTAAATTCTGGAATAGGTGGATCAATCATCTGTCAGATATCAAATTTATGAATTATTGTTTATGCGCATTTGTAGATAACGATGTACAGCATATTATTATAAAAAATATATTTCATTTGTTCGATGTTTTTGATTTTTTGTTAATGTACCGGCTTGAAGCGCCGCTAGCTGGATTGTCACTTTTCGAATAATCGTAAAGCGGTTGTAAACGTTACTCTGATAAAAATGACTGCTGCTAACAATAACCCACGTGTTTGGTTTGATATTTCCATTGATGGCGCTGCTGCAGGTCGTATTGTTATCGAACTTTTCGTTGATAGAGTTCCAAAGACAGCAGAGAACTTCAGAATGCTCTGCACTGGTGAAAAGGGTGTAGGACGCTCTGGTGCAAAACTTCATTACAAAGGATGCAAATTCCATCGTATTATTCCACATTTCTTGATTCAATCTGGTGATTTCATTTCAAATGATGGTACCTCTAACGAAAGTGTTTACGGACAAAGATTCGAAGATGAAAACTTCTCAGTGAAGCATGATCAGCCATATATTGTTTCAATGGCTAATAGTGGTCGCAATACTAACGGCGGACAATTCTTCATTACACTTGTTAAAGCTCCATGGCTCGATTTCCGTCATGTCGCTTTCGGAAAAGTTATTGAAGGTACTGATATTGTTGAACTTATTCAAGCTGCTGGTTCTAGTAACGGTGCACCAAAGCAGACAATTCTGATTTCTGATTGTGGTGAAATTTAAAAGTATTAAAATTGTCTTTGATAAATACATGAATCCTTCAAAAACTATTTATAAAAATATTAAATTTTTTTAGCACATTTAACTCTTGGGATTATTATCTATGAAGTCTCATGCATCATCTCTATATGACAATAGTTTTATAATTTTATTTTGAAGAAAAATTAATCAAAGGTGACCAAACTATTTTTTGAAAGTCCGCCATAACTTTAATGGTACTATTTCAGCGTGTACAATGAATACAAAAATTCTAAGAGTGCCACATAAAATAGTACTTTAGACTTGAGTTAATGCTACCAAGCAAATGTTAAAAAGATGACTTTAGTGTTTTGATAATCAAAGATTAAAATCATTATTGTCTAAATCAATAATCATAACGACAGAAGTTAATGTTTTTTCATAAGTGCTTTAAATCCACTTTTAAAAGTATACCTCAAAAATCAAAATATCAAAAAAAATTGGCCGATAGGTTTGGCTTTAATTTTTGTCTGCTTTTATGATTTGATATGGATGTTCTAATTTTAAAAGTTGAGCCAAATTCACCAATAGATTTTTGAGATTTGCAAATACTCAATAATTTTCAGCGTGTTATCTTTTATTAAAAGAACTATTTGGTTTCAGTATCATATAAATTGATATTTACTTTCTATTTGAACCTTCATTTAGCTAATGATTTAGTAATACAGATTTCATCTAGTCCTTATAAGAGAATTTTGAATTTGTTATAATAAAAAAACAAACAGATATAGCTTACACTTCTATAATAAAGATACCTTTTATAGAAATCAGTATGAAATGTGTTTTGGCTTATTGGAAGCATATCAGACATAATCGCCATAATCAAAAAATCTATATACCCAATAAGTAATAAATTTGTCGATATAGATTTTCCATAAAATTAGTTTTTAGTCTGATCTTAAAATAAATTTAATTTTTTATAAAAAAAATCACATTTAAAAGTACCTTTTTAGTAGCTCGAAATCCTGTTGGTGGATTTCGGGCGTACTTCAAAATTAGCTTTTCTTCTACATATGCAAGCTATATTTTAAATATGGAGCAAATCGGATCGGCGAAAGTAGTTTAGTTACCTTTAATTAATCTGAAATTGAAAAATTCATCAGGCTTTCTATTCATTGAACAAATAGACATGTCTTTTCTTAAATAAAACAAGCGAAAAAAGTCAAGAATAATTATGAGAAAAAAAAAGTCAAAATGTAATAAAAGAAAATCTATAATAATGAAACTTTTTATTATTATATCATATTTACCTGCAAAATAATATCATAAATTATTTAAATGTTATCGACATCTTCCTTTGTCCAGACGATAACGCCATTATCATCACCGCCCTGGGCAGATTCTTCTGTTTGTGTTGTGAAGTCGCGCTCGTTGACTTCGCCCATCTTGAAGAGCTCGTGGGCTTCATCAGTGGTGTACTTGTGAATGATATCTGCCTTATCATCTTCTTCTTCACGAAGGGCAATAAGAAGATAATCACCCTGATTAATGAAAAGACGGCCACGGAATTTTCCACGGACTTTGCAAATACGTACTTTGTGATCATTGCAAATGCATTCGAAGCGCTTATCACCAAGAGAACGTGCAACTTGACCGTAAACTTGCATCTCTTCGGCAAGGATAAGCTCAGTGCTGGCCATTCTTTCCTGATTCTTTTTACGTTGGGTTAATGTTGCGTGCTTGCTTTTTCCCATCTAACTAATGAAATTGAAGAGCTTTGGCTGACCATAAAAGAATTTCATTGAGACAAAAAAATTATGTCATTTTATTTAGTTAAATGTGTACAATTGACTTGCGCAAAATATTTGCCGAATAATGAAACTGTTTTCGGAATTTTTATCGATAGATTTTTTTTTATTTTTTCATTACAAAAAAATTTTCCTACATAAACAGTATGAAATTTTCTCATGCCATCTTGAGAAACACTTATGAGATCATCTAATTCTATCCTGTGAACGATACATTGAGTTATTAATATTAAATTCAGGCAAGGAATATCACTACTTTGGCCTGAAAGCAAATTTTGGTGCCACTCATTGAGGTCCTCATAAATTACTTTAAAGTTATTAGATTCATAAAAAATTATATAATATTTTGATACTTGCTTATATAGACGATACAAGCAGCTAAGCTTTAAAATTCTATTAGTTTTTATATACATCGCACTTGTCCTATTTATAATATGAAGCATAAAGCATTTAAAAGTATTTATGTATGACAAAATAGTATCAGATATATTAAGCTAATGTTCTTGAACATCTATTGAAGCAATTCAGTGATTATATTTTGAGATTTCTCAAATATCTTTTGAAACTTGTTTCTATGTGAAAGAAGCAATTCACGTATAAAAATATAAACATTTATTCATAAAACAATAGGAAAGATCAATCTCTATAAATTAAATAAGTGGTGGTTGCTTGAATAATCGTTTCAAGTTCTGAACAGTAATCTCTGTGTTTTCTACAGATGAAAAAGGATGAAATACGATTGATTTGATAACTTTCTTACGCTTTTGTCGTGTGATATGATTCTGATTTGTACCATTACTTGAGTTATTAACAAAAAGATCTTCTAGATTTGATAGTTGAAGTTGACTCTCTTCATCAAAGAAAGTAGATTCAAGAAACTGGGAACTTCGATCACCATTCAAAGCAAGCTCTATTGATAAATCAGAGTCCATATCAATCACTGGAGAGGAAACAGGATTGCTACCGTTAATGTAATCCTCAAGAGTACTGAGCATCAGTTGAGCAAGATAGTCGAATGGTTTTGCGCACTTTGCCGCGAAATTGTGATCAATTTTTGGCGCCAATGTGGAAAAATTCCCGCGAGCCCGCGAAAATTCAAAAGAATTTTTTGAGACCCTAAAATTTAAAATGATATGAATATCATATTTGATATAAAATTGAGAAAATTGTAGATTTTTGGTAAGATTCCGTTTTCTTTTTTCTTTATTTATCGGCGCGCCTAGGCGGTCCTCATAAATGGATAAATTTTTTATTGAAATATAGAGACAACTGATTCATCATTTGGAGTAAGTCTATCTTCTAAGGTAACAATGCAGTGAAATTATATGATTAATCTCGAAACTTATCAAATTCAAAGTATAATGGGAATACATATAATTTGCATCTAGTTTATAACGCACAAGTAAGTCATCATAGCCATTTGTGCATATTTTTAGAATTTTTATTAAAATTGTTCAGTTTTTGAAATCAATAAACCTATTATTTTTATTCTCATTGTTAAATTACAGACAATTAAAAAATATTAAATGAATCTAATAATATTTTATTTAATTATCACGAACAGTAGTATCCCAGTGGTCCTTATCAACTTGGGCAGTGAAATGTCCAACTATTGGGTCGAATTTAGCATGAGCTTGTTGAATAATGTGTTGTTCATTTGCATCATTCTTAGCTCTAATGTGAAGTGACCCAACATAGTCTGTAAATGTTAATCCCCAGAAGTGAGGAGCCTTACAATCCAAAACTCCTTCGAAATGAGAGACTTCTCTAACCATTTTATCGATAAATGTTTCGCTGATGCTGTAATCTGTAATTTCTAAGAGTTTTTCTGGTGTTGCTTGCATTAAAACGAAGAAACTTGGAACTAATAATTCGCGAGCTCGATCTATAATAAATAATGCAATAAGACCGTTGAGTAACGGAATGGCCTGCTCAGACACATGTTCTGGAACAGATGGGAAAGGTAAGAATGCCGTAACTAACTTGGATAAAGAATGTAAAATTCCGGAAATTGCTACTAAAAATGCAGCATGGAAATGTGGGTATTTGCTCTGCGAAGGATTAGATCTGTATTGGCTAAGTAATAATGCTGAAATTCCGTAAGCAATAAGTGCGAAAATATTTGGCATAACTGGTGAGAAAGATGGATGTTCGACTGAAAGAGATGCATCTGGAGCAACGGATGATAAGAATTCTTTGAGGGAATCTAACAAAAGTGAGCATGCAAATAAAATAACTGTTAATGAAACTGAAAAGCAGCAAACAATCATGGATCTAGCATATCCATATGTATGGCATTCATCTGGCGGTAAAGTTGTATAATAATCTGTTAATAATATAATTGCATAAAGAGCGAAATGCAATAACTGAATAAAAGCGATTTGAACAAATACAGTTGACTTTGTTAAGATAGATTGAGCAAGTAAAACACTAAAGAAGGCAAATAAAAATACCGAAATTATGAAAATTCCTTTTTGCTCAAAACCTCGAGAGGATACAAGACTAACTGCACCTCTAATATCTGTTTGCTGGCGTGGTTTTGGGGGCTCTTCTTGAAGACTAGCATCTTGATTATTTACTTTTTCCATCACCACTTAAATCAAAAAGTGACAATTATAAAAATCATATTATTTTTTTCCTCAAATAACAGAAGACTCTGCAAAGTTTCAGCCATTAAAAAATGAAATTACATTTTTTATACTGGTTTGAGTTACACCTGTTATAATTTTTTCTCAATGAATGATAGGGGAAGTTTGATCTTTAGCGCACCCTTTACAAGTAAGGAAGTTGTAAAGTTACACCTGTTATAATTTTTTGTATAGGTAAGTCAAAAAAAAAAAAAACTTTACAAATTTTAATGAGTCAGGGAATTGTTCTGAACTACGAATATATTGGCTCACATATCAAAGATTATATTGAAGCGGATAATCTCTTTAGCACATTCGAAGTAGAAGATATCGAATCAATCATGAAATTCGCGAATTTAACACCTGATGACTTCAATTCTCTTCTTGCGCAATCTCATTCTGTCATTTCAGAACGCAAATTGTATGCCTGCACTCGAAATGCAAATATTTCAATAAACAACATACAAGATGCCATTTCAACACTTAAATCAGTTCGAAAGTACATGAATATGCGAATCTTCGAAGGAATTATTGGCATTTTAGAACAATTACAAAAGGATCAATCCATTACAACAAATAAAATCGAAAAACTTCAAGCAGATTTAAATCAGATCCAAAAAGAAAAAGAAAACGTTGAGAAAGAGATGCAAACTCTTCACTCTCAACTAAAAGAGAAAGAAGGAAACGATTTACCAAAAGAATTTTTTTCGAAAATTTCCGAACTTAAAAATTCTGAAGATTTCAAACAAATCTACAAATTCTTTGAAGAAATTTCAGAAAAAGGAAATCAAAAAATGATGCAAAAAGCATGTGACGAAGAACTTTGGAAAAAACAATATCCTGACTACTATGGTACAAATGTACTTCATTTTGCATCTTCACAAGGAAATCTGAGACTTGTTAAATCTCTCATTGAATGTGGCTGTGACAAAGAAATCAAGAGCGAATATGGTGGTACAGCTCTATTTTGGGCATCAAGATATGGTAAACTTGAAGTTGTTCAATATCTTATCTCAGTTGGAGCTAATAAAGAAGCAAAGGATAATAATGGATATACTCCACTCATGCAGGCATCACTATGGGGTCATCTTGCACTTGTTAAATATCTTATCTCAGTTGGAGCTAATAAAGAAGCAAAGGATAATGGTGGATCTACTCCACTCATTTGGGCATCATATAGTGGTTATCTTGAAGTTGTTAAATATCTTATCTCAGTTGGAGCTAATAAAGAAGCAAAGAATAATTATGGATATACTCCACTCATGCAGGCATCACTATGGGGTCATCTTGCACTTGTTAAATATCTTATCTCAGTTGGAGCTAATAAAGAAGCAAAGGATAATGGTGGATCTACTCCACTCGATTATGCATCAAGTAATGGTCAACTTGAAGTTGTTCAATATCTTATCTCAGTAGGAGCTAATAAAGAAGCAAAGGATAATGAAGGAAAAACAGCACTTGATAAATCTGAAGGAGCAGTAAGAGAATATTTATTATCAATTGCAAGAAAATAATTTCTTGATATATTTAGTTATTATTATTATTCATTATCACATTTTGTCCCAGGTATAAAAAATCGATTTTATTTAATATATAACATAAGATTAGTAAATAGATAGATATTATCAGAAAATTTACACCCTCTAATCAGGATTAGATTTTCTGGAATTAGATAATCAAGTAAACATATGCTTTACCTATGGAAATAGTATCACATTATCTCCATAGTTACAAAACAAAATATAGAATCAACAATATTGAATTTCAAATTCATGTTGAAAAATTAACAACGTTAGTGATCACATCTTTTTACTGGTAATGACTCATACTTTATGTAGCCATTTGAGATGTTAGATTGAAGCGAGTAACCCGGAAGGAAGATTTTAAAAAAAATGTACCAAGGATGTATCGTTGAAATATCAGCACTTTATAGTATGGTAAGTCTGTGATTTTATAATTACAATTCGCTCGTTTGGATATTTTAGGCTAAAATTTATTTCAGTTTATTGAGCTTCAATATTATCCCAAAATCAATGAAAACGATAAAAACACAATAATCCGAATCAAAATTACTTGATTCTCCCCTATTTAAAAAAATTACGTTTACGACTTTTATTCAAAATTCAATTTAAGCAATTGAATTGTTTGCATAAATCCGGTTTTATTCAAAAAATTTGCATCATGTTTAATGCAAAAACATGTACATTTGGAAAATGCATTCTGTTGCTGATTTTTAAATATTTCTCTAAAGTGGCGAAAATAATTTGAATATGAATCGTTTGAGTTAAAATGTTTTTATTTTTCAGAACCATTAGAATTTCTCGATTTTTTTCAGACTACATGGGTTAATGATGCATCTTATGAATATATCAATTATATCAAAAGATGCAAGCGCTTTGTTAGAAAGAATACATCCGGATTTTTTTCAGATTGACTTAAAATTTTTATCGAAGGGAATAAAGGATATCTATCTACTTATATTTTCCATGCAAAATCAAGTTTCGACTTTTCCATCAAAAATTTTTAATTCAGAAATGTTTTAAAAAACGATGACATCAAATTTAATTAAGATTTTAATAGCATGGATGCTCTAGATATAATCATCACTGTTTTCATAATATCATTGGTAATCGTATGTTGCTTTGGCTGTTATAAGTGTTACAAATGCTTGAAGTACGATTGTGATTGCGGTATTAAATCTTGTATGTCAAGCAGCTCATCAGGGTATACTGCTAGAACGACAAACTATCCTGCTGTTCAATATTCAGCAAATGTTCAAAATCGGAATATTTACTCCCAAAAAGACGATTCATCGGATTCTTTATCATCTTCTGAAATTCTTTTGGGTATTGCTTTGAATCAATTTCAACGAGAGCAGGCAAGGGATATTGCTTTACTTACAAAAGAACTAATTGAAATACAAGAACGCATTAATAACAGTACGCTTCAAGATGTTATAAATCTATCAATTGTTTTCCTACACCATATTGATGAATTACAAAATTGCATAGAAGGTTTGCAGATGCTTGAAAGCTTCAGAGAATTATTAAAAGCAATAAGAGATGAAATTGTTAGTGCTTTGCAAGCAAGGAGAACTATTAGGGTTGCTATAATTGAGCGTAATGGAAACCAAATCAGAGGGATTGTAGCTCAATTTCAAGCATAAAACATATATATGATCCAGTATGATTCCTTTATGAACCAAAATTATAAGTATGCAGTAAATAATATATAGATGTGATATATTGTTTTGTATTGTAAAAATATGCATTTAAGAAGTCTTTTCGAAAGGTTATATTTCTTCAAATGGCATTTTCCTAATAGTCAATTGTATATCCAAACGAATGTCATCGTTAATGGTGTACTAACTATTTTTTGACATCTTCTCATGATATCAGAATAAATGGCTTACTTTAATAAGGAACTATATAATGTATTATAATAACTTTTGACTGACCAAAAATATTAACTCTTCACCTTAGAAATGGGAATATAAAAATAGGGAAATCAAAAAAAAAAATGAGAGAATGTCAGAAAGTGATGAATTTATTGAGTACCTAAATAAGTTGTAGACATTGCGGTTGTTAATGTGAAATGACTAAAAACAGCATGTAGCATCATACTGCATACTAAATCCATGCTTTTGCAAGTAACAGCTCAATTTTCAGATGATTTCAAATATTACAGTAAACATTTAATGTCAAACAGAGTGTATTAATAGATCCTTCTCTAGTAATTCAAAAACATTAATAAAACATACTAAAATGTGGAAATAAATATTTCATCATAAAAATTAATTAATATTCAAAAATATCTTGAATATTAAAAGTATCTTCAGTTTCTCAAATTGTGTATTCATTTCTTTCAACTCATTCTTCTTAAAATCAAATAAAATATTTTATTATTTGAAAAATGTAAATGTATTAATATGTTTCATTCCTCTTGTTGTATTGTACCGATTAATAATTATTGGATAAGAGTTCAAGGTGACCAAATTATATTTTAAAAAAAGACACCAGTTTTGTATTAATAGATTGTAAGATCGCCAGATGAGAGCTAAGAACATTCTCGCCCCTTTTTGCGAACTATGATATTGCGACTCTTTGGAGAGCCCTGCGAAAACACAGCGTTCAGAGACGAGCCGCGAAATGTCTATCGTCCTGGTCACTCCCATAAGAACAAAAATATTTTTATGTATAATTTATGTATAATTTTGTACTTCTCCATGAAGGAGAGTTTTGTTCATAACTATTTTCATCATTTGGAACTAATTTGCATTGAAATTCACATGAAACCATTCAATACAGCTTTCCCACATGATTACAAGACTCGACACGTTCATTTGCATTTTATTTTTCATTATTCATCGCAATAATCAAGGTAAATAAGGATAACGAATAATTGAAATTATATAGAGAGATTCAATCCATAAAATTCATGTAGTATGTGTCACATTGATAGAATAGATGAATTATAATATGATTTTCTGTATGAAATGAATAATAAAAGTTAATCAAGTATATTGAGGGAAAAAACAAATAGCATATATTATTAAAAATTGATAATTTAACAATAAAATAATATAAATTATTTACCATCATCTAAATTCAATACATTAATAGCTTTCTCCATAATTCTCAAACATTTCTCCATTGGTAGAGATGCTGCGATATTCACAGCTTCATTAGATATAATTGTTGCAGCTTCATAGAGCATTTGAACGCAGAAAGGTCCAGCAGCTTGGTTTCTAAGTGAATCTTCTAATTTTTGATCGATCAAACGCAAAGAAGCAACAATTCCTTGTGACTGTTCGTTCTTTCCTAACTCTGTAATTGCCTTTTTAACAGAAGTCCTTAATGAAGACCTCCAAGCAGTTTCAATTATCGATAACATGTCAGGAGGAACGTATCTAAGTCTTTTACCTGATCCAGGTACTTTAATCTTATTAACATATACCTGCCTTGATACGCATAATGTATCAAATGCATCAGAAGTAACGCTTGCAATTGAATCAGAGAATTTAGTTCCTTCCATGAACATTTCTTCAAGTTCTTGGATTGTTAGTTCCGGTCTGACTTGTTTCATGAAATCTCTGAACGTTCTCCAATCCATTCTAGGTAATGTTGTATCTGCACCTGGTAATTTCTGTAAAATAGCTCTCTGATATCTGGAATATGCCCTTGTGAAGTTGTTTTGTGCATCTGTGCATTTCTTGGAGTAGAATTCGGCGCATTTCTTCAATACAGTTTCGAAAACATAAACTATTGAAATAACAGGTTCTTTTCCTCTTTCTTCAGCTGCAACAGCTTTTATTTCATCATTGATCTCTTTTACAGTGGCTTCACCAAGAGGTGAAGTGAACATGGTTGTTGTCAAATTCCAGGCCAAAGATAAAGGAACACTAGGAACATCAGTCTGAGGATCCAAGTTCATGTTACCTTGGAAAGGCTGAGCTCTAAAGAAACCGAACAATGACAAAAATACGTTGAATAAACTCACATTTACCTTTCTTTCCATGAAATCAAGGACAAGTTGCGATAAATTGAACTGCTGACATGTTTGTCTCATTGATTCTAAGTAGCACCTTGCAGTATCGGCCGCAATTTGTGGAGTATCTTCGGTCAATAATAATCTTGTTGCATAAAAATCATCTAAAGCCATATCTGTGTTAGCATTATACATTGTTTCGAACAAATTGAATGATACTGAGGTAATATCCTTCGTTGACATCTGTTGTAACTGTCTTTGAGATGGAAATTCGATTAATAATTGTTTGAGCTTTGATCCATCAGCTAAAGTTGAATACTGTTGGTCTTCTTCGTTTGCATCTTCTTCATTTCCATCATTATGATCTGATCTTGTTGTAATTGTTCCTCCATTTTGTTGTTTTGAGATTTGCATCTGTAATTTCTCGTTCTTCTTGTTCATTGACTGCAATTGTTGTTCTAAATCTGCATATCTTTTCTCTGATTTTAAGAGTTCGTTTCTTTGGAACTGAGTTTGAGTTTTTAGACCGTCATTTTCAAGTCTGAGATCTCTAACTATTGATCTCATGTTTTCTATTTGCTGTTCAAGCATATCACGTTCCATTTTAACTTGTTCTTGAGCTTTTAATTTGTAATTATCAATCTGAGTTTTCCAGCGCTTAATTTGCTCTTCAAGTTGAGCATGCCACTCTTTTTCCATTCTCCTTTCAATAACCATGAGTTGTATACGTTCGTTTAAATCCTTTCCTTGAGATTCAAGTTCCATATTCTTTGCATCGAGAGAAACTTTTAACTGATCGATTTCTTTTTTCATAACGCGAAGCGCATTGTTGTATTGGTTTGGAATTTCTTTAAATGCTGACAAAAAATTGTCAACTAAAAAAGCAAGAAGAGTGCCTCTTTCTGCACAATGCTTTGACACTTGGCGTGTAAGTTCGTCGAGTGCTACTTTAAGTAATGTTGTGCGTCTATCGAATAATTGCATTAATTGGGCTGCAGCAGCTTTAGATTTCTGTACATCTTGTGTATTTGTTTGCTCTGTATATGTACTCATATCACCTTGTATTTCATCCAGCATTAAACGTACAGCATCGGAAAGATGAATAACGTCTTCTCTTGAATCTGGATTATTTGATGGCCAAATTACGACATTCCAAAGGCCGTCTTTATTGTAACAACGATAACCTTGATCTGCATAATCTTTTGGAAAAATTGGGAATGTTTTAACGATATGATATTGTTTTGGTATACGAGAAGCATTAGGTTCATCGATTAAATCATCATCAGGAGGATCAACTAGCTTAGTTGTCATTTCAGGCGTAGCCATTTTCCCAATAATATCAGTAGTATCTTTTAAAACTTGCATAATTTAAAAAAAATCCCTATATATATTATTAAAAAACGTGCATAAAATATAAAGGGGGGTTCACCAAAAAAATCATAAACTCAGAAGCCCTGTAAGGTCTCAATTTCTATCGTCCTAATTTGTAAACTTTTTTACAAAGTTGACCTGGACAAAGTTGTATCAGGCAAAAACAAGCCCTAGTTGATTTTCCTCAAATTGATACAAGCAGTATTGACTATCACAAAGGAAAATTTTATATGGTAGTTGTTACGGCTACATTTATTGTTCATTAACTTATAATATTTAGCAATTAAAATCAACATACTTATTTTAATATTCAACAATATACGCTAGCTTATACTCGAAGAAACATTGAGGTATACGCCATAAAATCGAGTTTTCGGGTTTGAATTATCTAATATCTTCAACTCAGAGGCTCTTCCATCGAAAATCGTAGCGATAGATTTGATGTCATATGTGAGACAACTAATATACCTTAAATTCAAATGCCTGCTATCGGCCAATTTTTTTTTATAAATTTAATAAAATTACATTGTCTTTCAAAATTTATGAAGAGTATAATATTTACGAAATATAGGAGAAAAGAATAATCTTTACTCTGCGGGTTTTGCCAAAATTAATCTCTAGGAAAAAACAAAATGTTTGAAAATCTCATTTCCAAAGCTTGAAAGCATATTCAAAGATACAGCCCAATGAACTCAAGTTAGTTGCATATATCTTTTTTTATAATATTAATACAGAATGCGAAAAAACATGGTGCAAAAATTTAAAATAGTAAAAAATTTAGCTGTCGTGATTATATAGCATTCCTTATGCCAGATAGCTTAAATACATCAGTATTTAGAATTCCAATTTTTTTGGAAATAAAAAAAATGATATTATTTTTGAATATTTTTATATTATTGGCATCAAATATTTGGTTTACGATCATATTATCGGTGTTATATAATATATCTAGAAATGCCAAGTTTCGGAATATTATGTGAAATGTAACGTCTTATTGGTTTCGGAATACAAAATAAATTAATATGTTTGAATATATTCGCTAGGCATTTTCGTAATATGCTGCTTAAATTACATACTTTCGGTCAAATTTTGGATAATGCAATTTAATCTTGAGCAAAAACAGCGACTTTGGACCTCATACTCTGGGGTATTAATACCCTACCAACAAACATTTAAAAGAACCCAAGTTGTATTCTTTTGAAATTTTTTATTTTCGAGGTACCAAAATCGCCATCTCGAGAAAGAATGTTAAATGAAAGCCGATACAGACCGTTTGGTCGGAGAGAAGCCTTAATGAGTCGGGGAATTGTTCTGAACTACGAATATATTGGCTCACATATCAAAGATTACATTCAAGAGGATAAACTCTTTAGCATATTCGAAGTAGAAGATATCGAATCAATCATGAAATTCGCGAATCTAACACCTGATGACTTCAATTCTCTTCTTGCACAATCTCATTCTGTTATTTCAGCACGTGAATTGTATACCTGCACTCGAAATGCAAATATTTCAATAAACAACATACAAGATGCCATTTCAACACTTAAATCAGTTCAAAAGTACATGAAGATGCGAATCTTCGAAGGAATTATTGGCATTTTAGAACAATTACAAAAGGATCAATCCATTACAACAAATAAAATCGAAAAACTTCAAGCAGATTTAAATCAGATCCAAAAAGAAAAAGAAAACATTGAGAAAGAGATGCAAACTCTTCACTCTCAACTAAAAGAGAAAGAAGGAAACGATTTACCAAAAGAATTTTTTTCGAAAATTTCAGAACTTAAAAATTCTGAAGATTTCAAACAAATCTACAAATTCTTTGAAGAAATTTCAAAAAAAGGAAATCAAAAAATGATGCAAAAAGCATGTGACGAAGAACTTTGGAAAAAACAAGATGATGACTTTTTGGGTAGAAATGTACTTCATTTTGCATCTGTTAAAGGAAATCTGAGACTTGTTAAATCTCTCATTGAATGTGGCTGTGACAAAGATTTCAACAGTAAAAATGGTGGTACAGCTCTATTCTGGTCATCAATAAGTGGTTATCTTAAAGTTGTTAAATATCTTATCTCAGTTGGAGCTAATAAAGAAGCAAAGGATAATGGTGGACGTACTCCACTCATTGAGGCATCAGAAAATGGTCATCTTCCAGTTGTTAAATATCTTATCTCAGTTGGAGCTAATAAAGAAGCAAAGGATAATTATGGATCTACTCCACTCATTCGGGCATCAATTTATGGTAAACTTGAAGTTGTTCAATATCTTATCTCTATTGGAACTGATAAAGAAGCAAAGGATAATTATGGATCTACTCCACTCATTGAGGCATCATATTTTGGTAAACTTGAAGTTGTTCAATATCTTATCTCAGTTGGAGCTAATAAAGAAGCAAAGGATAATTATGGAAAAACAGCACTTGATAAATCGAAAGGAGCAGTAAGAGAATATTTATTATCAATTGCAAGAAAATAATTTCTTGACATATTTGATTATTATCTCTCAATCATTGTTGCAAAAGATAAAGTTAATTTTTTTTTTTTGGATTGTGTGTGTCTTTGAATTTTTCATTTAAATGATGCTTTACGATTAGAGAAACAAGCCATTTCAATGAAATTTAGCATGGCATGTTTTTGTTTATCAATGATGAACTAAAATCTAAATTGAGAAAAAATCATATTGGTGTAAGTTGTTCGCGCCCCTAATACAAAATGATCGTCACTTTTCTATAAATGTTGGTTTCAGCTTTTCGCCGCTTTACAGCTGGTCCAGGATCTGCAGCCGGTCCACAGATGCCACAAATTGAAAGAAAGGCAGTTGCTGGTGTTGGCAGACTCATTTTAACAATCGGAAACAAGGGAGGTGTTGGTAAATCTATGGTTACAGTCAACACAGCTCTTGCTCTGGCTAAAACAGGCAACAAAGTCGGTATCTTCGATGCAAACATCTACTCACCAGATATCCCAAGGCTTACAGGCACAACAAATTGGTTACTTTCGCCAGATAAACAACAGAACTACTTGCCGATCACAACTGGTGGAATCCAACAAGTTTCTGTTGCTAACGTTATCGGAAAGAAGGACTCAATTCTTTGGAAGAACTATGTTGGTGCTATTCTTGGTGATTTCTTGAAGAAGGCCATCTGGCAAGATGTTGATTACCTTCTTGTCGATACACCACCAGGAACTGGCGATATTCACATGGCTTTATCTACATTATTCAAGGCAGATGGCGCCATCGTTGTTGCAACGCCAGATGCCCTCTCATTCATCGATACATGCCGCTGCATTGACATGCTTAACCGTATGCCAATTCCAATTGTCGGTATTGTTGAGAATAAGGGCGAACAACAGTGCCAGACCTGCAACAAGATCACACCAGCTCAGAACGAGGCTGGAAAGGTTCTCGCCGACAAGTATAAACTTCAAAAGATCTGCACAATCCCAACAATTCCTGCAATTGTCGATTCATGCGATAATGGTACTCCAGCTTACACTTCTATTGCTAACCCTGAGCTTAAGAAGTGCTTCGATAACATTGCCGCTGCAATCATGAAGAAATTCCCTAAGCGTACACCAGAAATCCCAACATACGTCCCAGATACACCTCCACCACAGCCAACTGAGTTCAAGCACTAAACTCGGATCAATAAATGTTTGACAAATAGATTGATGCCATTACATTATAAAACTATTAAAAAAAATAATTTATAAATAAATTATTACAAAAAAAATCATATAAATCATATGAAATATCATTAACCTTTTTCTAAACATTACGATAAATAGTAAAAAGAGGGATAATTGTTAGTTGAAACTTATTCTCTTTCTTTTCATAGTCTTCATTGTTTTATGATATTCCCTTTCTTTTCATATTGATTATTTATTTATGAAGTTCTCTCTAAATTAATAGTTGCCCTCTTAGTATTGCAATTAAAGAGGATTCACTAGAAAATGTCAAATTCTTAGTTGAACATGGTGCTATAAGTAACTAGCTATAAGAATATATTTTAGTGTCGGCACCATTTAAGAATAAACAATCTACATATTACGAAAATAACAAACCATTTCCAATAGCTAAACTCCCTTTCGAAAAGATTGTGAGTTTTGGAGCTCCTGAATCTCTACTACCAAATAATCTTCAATAACAATTAAATTTATTATAAATAAAATTTCCGAAAAAAAAAATTATTATAAATTTAATTTATTCTAACAAAAAACCTCTACTCTAATATTAGTATGAATTAAATCGGAGATCTGCTGCTCAATCTTGATGAAGATGTAGATGATCTACGAGCTGAAGAAGGAGCTCTTGACGAAGAGACTGAAGATGACCTCTTCCTTGGAGTCATTGTACCAGAAACATGAGGAATATCGCGGTAACGTAAAGTTGATTTAAGTTCAGCTGCTTTTTGAACGCGGTCAAGTCTTGACTGTTCTTTTGATGCTTTCAGTTCTAGCTCTTCAAGGGCTGCGCGTTGCTTCTCTGCAAGTAAGTCTGTTTCGCGTTTTTGGCGAGCTTCAAGTTTTGATTTTTGGCGACGATACTGTTCTTCAATCTGGCGAGTTCTCTTTTCACGGACTTCTTCTTCTAGTTGAACAGCTTCTTGATAGAGCGAACGAGCCATTTGATAGTTATGATCAGTTCCGAATTTCTTTGATTGCTCATATTTGACTGATGCCTCGTGAACAGGACGCTTTAACTCACGCTCACGAGCAAGTGCATATGAGAGACTTAAATTATTAAGCTCTTCAGTATGCTGTTTTGTTAATTCTTGGAAACGTTCATGGAATTTTCTTTGAAGTTCAACGCGGTCTTGTGTTGTCTTTGTTTTGGCAATATTTGCTGATGTTTTAAGCTTTTCAGTTTCTTCATCGAGTTGAGTATTTCTTGTTTGAGGTCTGTTTTGAGCTGTTTGGAGCTTCTTTATTTGTATTGATATACTTTCGGCACGATCGAAATCGAAATTGTCCACAGCAACCTGATGCTCCTTCTTTAAAAGCTCGATTTGTGCTGCCTTATCCATATTTACCGTTTATTTTTCAATTTTTAGTGTAAAGTTAGCTATATGGAATCCCGAAATATGTTTAATCGATTTGCCATAATTCGAAAATCCAAATGCTTGAAAATTTCAGTGCTTTGAAGATGAATAATGATATCATAAATCATCATCTAAGTATTTAAGGAAGTAAATGTAAAACATGTTGGATAGCATAGATAACCATACTAAAAATCTCAAATGTTTCATATAAACTCATATATTGGTGTGCCCTTCTTGTTTTGGATAAAGTTGTTTACAACTTATAACACATAATCTATATGAAACAACAAGGGAGTTAAACAAACCATCATTGATATATACAGGGTGTAAAAAAAGTAATGAGACACTCCCTAATTTTTTGTATAAGAAATAGATATTAATTAAACAACAGAATATAACAATACAGTGTCATCTCGTGTTTTATTATGGACTTGTAGAGAAGAAGAAGCACCCAATTATATATTTTGCCAGAAAGTGATTGCATCTTTAAAAAAAAATACAAATATTTTATGAAACAAAAAAATAATAAATAAATCATTCCTTAGTAGCAGCGCATTTGAGTTCTAATATATTCGATGTCAAAGCAGAACTGACATCTTCCATTTTGACTAAATTTGTAAAATTAGTCAACAATGGCTGAACAATTTTTGAAGCAACAATATAATGATAATTATCTCTAAATTCATCAGTCATGTCTGGATAAGGGTTCTCAGCCTTCAAAGCCTCCACCATTATAGCGTGTGGTGCCCAATACGGCGAGAAATCACAAAGTTTAACAAGGCATTTCATGTATATCATGTGATGATCCCAATTCTCTGTTATATTGAATTCAGAACTTTCAGAAACAACAGCGAACTCACCAATTATATCAAACACGTGTTTGTCATCAGCAGCCATCAACAGTTGTCTGACCATTTCTCTTATATATTCTCTTTCTTCACCTTTTCCTGGCACCATGTCATCGAGCAGATCCAAATAATGTTTTATGTTTCTCGCTCTTTTACAAATGTTTTCAGCATTGACGGGATGAAGCAAAGCAACAGCAAGAGCAACCGCGAACGTGTCTATCCTTGATCCGATCGTATTCTTCAATGGTCCAGTGATTAAATATATCAAAGATGACAATCGTAAAGTGGAATGAGCTGGGTTTTTTATGGATTTTCCAACTTCAACCATGTATTTAACGAAATAATCGGGATCAATGGATTGGAAGAGAAGGGAATTGGAGACAATAAGAAGTATCATTTTCTTTACAAATGGTTTGTATTGGCCAACATTTTCCATCCATAAAAATTCGTTGTTTTCTACAGCTTTTACTAGTTTCCTTCCTGTAGAAACTTGTCACATCTGGAAAGGAGGTTCAGCTGGTTCGGGAGGTGGAGATAAACGTCGAAGAACTGTCTTAAATTCGCCATCTGACACTGAAGGATTCTGAAAAAGTGAATCTTTGGATCTGGCCAATTTGAGGATTGCGCTATCAGCTATTTTGTTGAGAATTGTGTCCTCTGGGTATGCTAGCTGTAGTTTTCGGAGACTGTGGATAGATCGGACTAATGCGCCTCCGTTTTTGTCAATTTTGAATTTTTCATCTTCGAGATTTGGAACCCTCTTCAATTTGCGGCTTCTCTCGAGTTTGGATCTGCGTAGGAAGAACGCCGTGATGAAAAATACAAGGCCAACAAGTCCTAAACCGCCAACAAAAATGACAGTTGTATCAAAGAACATATTTGAGATCGGTTCTTGGAGATTAAAGGCTACAACGATCTGGAAATGTGGTATATCTCTGACTGATATGTTTTTAAGTAAAAAGAGATATTTGTCACCATCAATTTCGGAACTCAAAATTGATCCGTTCTTTAAATCATCAATTAGATGGGCTGCTGTCTGCCAGAAGGGATCTGATGTCTCAGCAAGTGATGGATATACGTAAAGTGAGCTCTTTGTATGATTTATTGGGTCAATTTCGCCGGAATCTAATAAAAGTGCTGTGTCATCCATAGTTAAGAATGCGTACTTGGAATCAGATAGGGAAGCTATTTTCTTTAGTGTAGAGTACAAATACGAAATGTCAAAGCCAATACCAGAAATCGTAATTGTATCTGTAGAACTTTTACGTACGTAGATTGCTCCGCCAAGGTAATTATCGTCTGATTTTTTATTTGCGAAATATAATATATTTCTCCATGTAAATTGATTAAAAACGTTAGTATTGTAAATAATTTTCATTTGTTCAGACCAAATTGTAACATTATCACCACCGTTGGGTTGGAAATTGTTAAAGTCTGCATTTAAGCCATTGAAATAGTTTAATTGGAATTCATCTAATTGATAGTGATAAGCGTAGAAAAAGTGGAATTCATCTGGGTTAGTTGAGTTCGTATTGTTCCAATTGATCATACAAAAGCTTGATTCTGATTCTCCGAAAAAGAACAAGTTTGGTTTTGGATCAAGGTTTTTTCTTGCTGCTTGGCAATAGCGAATAAAGTTATATACTTTGCTTTGACTACACTCGATGAGATCTGGTGTATCGCTAATACCTGCTAAGAATCGTGATGGAACTTCATATTGCTTCAAAAATTCCTGAATACCTGCAGTAATTGCTTCAGTATGGGCTGTAAGATGTTCTGAATAAATCTTGGCAATTGATTCTTTTGCAGCATTACGAGAACTGATCCATGGATACGTTAATGAGGCAAGAATGACTATAAAGACAATAAGATAGAGAAAATTCTGTATAATATATGACTTGCGGTTATACTCTGTTATATTACTCTTCTTCTTGCCTACTGATGGGATCTGTTCATGATTCATTCAAAAAAAAATTTTCTAAAGATTTTGAAACAAAAAAAAAAGGTTGTTTGAATTTGAGTGTACTGTCAAATTCATGATACTTTTTTACATGAAATGCATTCTACATCCCTGTATCTAATGATTTCATTGACTAACAAATGAATAATGTAAAGGATAAATATGAATTTGAATGTTTCAATGTATGTTTTTTGCTTTGTGAACATATAATATACAATTTTGATGTTTTAAAGCAGGGACAATGGTTGTGATGGGAATGTTGAGATCAAATATCCTTTATTTAGTGACATAATTTTCGTAATAAGAATAATATAAAGTTAATATAGGGATTTCATTATCGAACTATCATTTCTAGCTTTATTGTATTGCATATTATCAACAAAATCACTTAGTTGTAGGATTTTTAGAAAAAAAAATTAAAAAATCTTAACCAGATTCCTATAAATTGAAGTATAATAGTTTGTATTTTAAAAATAAGCATAATCTCTAGACTTCAAAATTCCAAAAATTATTGATTTTGATGTTTTTGATTTAATTTTTAACAATTTTTCAATTTATTTTTGTTTTTTTGAAATTTTTTTGGAAAATAAACAACATTAGATTGGGGGTAAAACACCTGCAATCATAGTTTCATGTTTATATAGAGCATGAAGATTGTGTTGGAGCTCAAATTTCAGAAGATTCGTTAAATATGTTTTAAAAAATTACACTTTTTAAATAGTTTATCAAATTCTATATATTTAAAATTAGAAAACAAATATGAAGTATTACATAAGTTGTGTGTAAAGCTGAAAATTCCAAAAATAATTCGTATAAAAATTGTATTTTTGTACTTTTCAGGAAATTAAGCACTAAGAGACTTAACAACCTCAGTAATTTGGCCAAGAAGTGACTCACGAAGTCCTGATTCACCGAAATGATTCATACCGAGCATTGAACCATCTTTTGAAGCTCCAATGACAATAAGAGACTGTACTGAAGTAACTTCAGCAGGTGTAGGATCGATAATTAGCTTATCTTGATATGCAGCGAATGTATAAAGTTTTGGTATTTTTTCGACCTTAATTAGGTGTTCTGCCTTCTTGCTTTCATCGATATCAAAATGTAATTCATTTGCGCTCTCTCCTGGAGTAACAATTAAAGCCGGGAAAGTGATATTTTGAAGGCAAGATTCGATTCCAAGCATAGATGCTTCATAGACGCCACCAGCAGCCTTAAGGATAAGTACGTCAATGTAGATCTTCCAGGAATAAGGAGAGTTGAAAAGAATGAACTGATTTGGCTCAAGAACTTCACTGTTTACAAGGAAATGCTTGATTGTTGTTTTAATAACTTGGCAGATTTCAGCATCTTCCAAATTTGGTCCAAAAGCACCTGGTAAAGATTTGACTGATAAATCAAACTCTGCGTGCTCGTTTAAGGCAACTTCTGTATTGATTGAAACAATTACTTCTGTTGTGTTGCTGTATCCGTGTCCTTTAATTACTTTGCAGCTAGATGGTGATAATGGAAGTGGATTTAACTCAATTTCGTGAGTTCTTGATTGAAGGAATTCTCTTCCATCCATACGCATATTTCTTGCAAGCATCTCACATTGAAATGTCCTTTCTCCTGGTGAGAGAGTCAATGTTTGCATTTTTTAATTTTTTTTTGACAAAGGACAATTTCAATTCAAATTCATCGATTGTTAAGGGTGCACCCGTATTTACGTTTATTTGAGAGGAGGAGGATTACCCTCTCAATTTTGAGGGATTCGTTAGTTTATTTTCTCGATGAATATGCAATAAAATTTGATTTTTACCTTATCAATATACTTCATATAATATACACATGTTCATGTAAAAACTTTTTTCCAAAATCCTCAGGAATTAAGGGATTTTTGAATTTTAAGAATTTTTTTCGAATTTTTTCGAAAAAAAATATTTTCAGAACAGCCTTAACGGCTAAGATTTAGGAACAATGTTAAGTATCAAAAAGAAAGGAGGTCTGATATAGACAACATATATCGTTGAAGGTTGAAAAAATCTCTAATATTTGAGCCCAAAATTTCAAATTTTAATTTTTTGAAAAAAGAGGCCACCCGTATGTACGTTTATTTGAGAGGAGGAGGATTATATTTTTGAAAGGGTGAAACATTATGAATATGTTAATTATATAATAATATGTATTATTATAAAAAAGAAAAAATAAAGCACGTTAAAATTTTTCTTTCTTGATTTTTTACAAAATCTACTTAGAATTATGCAAAATATGACTAAATAATTATAAATTTCTAGTTAAATTTTAATTTTGATAAATAATTTAAATTTCAAAATATCAAGTTCAGTTCGACTATGTATGTAGTAATTCCTCAATAAAGTGCCAAAACCCTATTAAAATATATGAACATTTTCAACATTTTAATGTTTTTATTTAAAAATTTGATGGAATATGAGCTTCAAACAATTATTATGTAAATAAAAATAATTAAATATATGTATTTATTCGTATTACAACCGTAGTAAGTCGATTCTTCCTTTCTTCTACTGAGGTTTGAATTTGATTTCGAATTGTAAAGAGATTCAAAGGGAAAATACTAGCGGAGAAAAACTACCTCCATGAAAGGGTCATAATGGAGTCAAGTTGTATTTTTTGATATTTTTTTGCTTTTCGAGCCTAAATAGGTAGCCAAGATAATGCCTAAAAATAAGGTTCTAAATTCTGAAGTTTACATGATCCTCTCGTGTGCACCCTTAAAAAAATTCAAAATTGAAAGTAGGACCACTTCTGGAATTGTCCAAATCTCCATCTGAATTGAAAAACTCATGATCTGAATCAAAACACCCATCCGGAAAAATGTTATCAAGATCCCATGGGTTATCAAAATCAGGTTTCTGTGCATCATTGGTTTCATTTAAGGCTAGGTTGGGCATGTTTTCAGTTAAGGCTGGATCGGGCATGTTTTCAGTTAAGGCTGGATCGGGCATGTTTTCAGGCAGAGGTTCTTCACTTGAAATATTAGTAAAAAAAATTAATCTTTTAGTTAAAAATATCAGTTATAAAATCGATTGACTAAGTAGTGGCCCCAAGAGATCGGAGATATTTTGCAGTTTCCTCACATTTGCTTGAAATGGCACATGCCAAAGGAGTGATTTTATTTTGGTTATTCGCATTTATATCAGCGCCGTGCGCTATAAGAAGTTGAACCATTTCCAAAAAAATTTCCACCGAGGCGTAATGAAGTGCAGTTATTCCCTTTGCGTTTTTAATATTCACATTGGCTCCATGTTTGATTAGAACTTCTAGTGATTTCATGCAACAACAAGCAGATGCAATATGTGCAGAGGTATTACCTTCATCATTAGTACAATTAATATCAACACCATGAGAAACCAATAGTTCAATTACTTCAGGTATATTGTTGTATGTAGAATCATGTATAGGCGCATATCCACTCTTGTTTTTAACATTACAATCTGCACCACGTGAAATGAGAAATTCAACAAATTTTTTGGATTTTATTTTGTTTACCGATTTTGATTGGCCTAGAGGTTTTGATTGGCTTAAAGATTTTGATTGGTTTCGAAAATTAGGTTGGAAATCATCATCATCACTGCCAGCAGGTAAAAAATACCAATCATGATATGGTTGAATTGCTATAAAAAGTGGTGTTTCTCCATTTTTATCGCGCTTATTGATATTTGCTCCATGAGCTAAAAGAAGATTTGTAAATTTTGTATCCGCATTTTTTGCTGAAATGTGAAGAGCGGTTTTACCTTCGATATCTTTTCTGTTAACATCAGCATTATGCTGAAGAAGAAACTTACAAATTTCTTTGTTACTTTGGCGTACACTATAATGAATTGGTGTTTTTCCTTCGACGTCGCCTATATCGATATCTGCCCCATGTTGAAGAAGGATCTGAGCAGTATCTGGCAAATTATTAAGTGCTGTAAAATGGAGAGAAGTACATCCTTTCTTTCCCTTTGAATCGACATCAATTCCATAAGAGATAAACATTTTGACTAACTCATTGAAACCCAACATTGATGCAACATGAAGATAATTGTTACCATCTTCATTAACTTCATTAATTGATGCTCCTTTGGAAACAAGAAGTTTTACTCCACTTCGAAAATCATTCATAATTGCGTTGTGAAGAGCAGTTTTATTTCTTGCTGGTTTGATATCAATATTATCGACATGTCTTATTAAATATTTTAGCAAAGGTACTGAAAAAAGTTTTGGTGAGTTAATAAAACATGTGATATAATCCTTTCTATGAACCAAGTATGCACAAAATGCTTCAATGCAATTGAATTTGCAGCAATGATTAAGATCGATATTGATCTTGTGCTCTCTCATCAAGAATGTTACGAAATCAATGTTGTGTGAAATAATTGCGTATTTCATGCATTTTTTGTCTGGTTTCTGAACTTTGATGCATTCATTCATTATGTCTGGTTTTCCACTCAAAAACGAGAATTGAAGACATTCTGGAGTGATATCAGGCTCAAATTTCGAAATCATAAACTTGAAACATTGAACAGCGCCATAATAACAACAGAGTTCAAGTAATCCGTATTCGTGATTTTTCTTCGGATAGAAATCGTGTCGTAATTTCATATCTTCATCGAAATCATCTCTGCTTGTTAATGAAACAAACAGTGAAAGATCATCTCTCATGATTGCTTTGTAAATAGAGTATTTTTCGTGAACATCCAAAGTATAATTTTTAGCATCAAATTGTTCAAATGAATTTTTGCTTTTCTCCTGGAAAACAAAACCGTATTCCTCGAATACCATGTAATCGAAAATTGGAGAAATGTTATGCACACGTTTAGGATGAAATTCTTCAAATAGTTTTTTAAAGATTGCCCAGTAGGATTTCAAGTAGCGAAGGTTGTATTTTGATGCTAGAATTATTTGTTCAATGAGTTTTTCTGGCGAATCTATTTGTGTTTTAATACTGTCATAAATATTGTCGATTTTACTTTGGTTATGAGTATGTAACTTGTAAAAAGCTTTTAAAGAATCTCTTGAATCTTTGCAAAACTCCATTAGCCGATCATAGTTAGGGCTTCTGCTTGTCATCCCGTATATTTGCTTTACTTTATATTTTTACGACTTTTAATTCAAATTACAATTTGTACTGTTTAATTTAAAATACAACTAATGGATAACATATACTCTTTATTAGGGTTGAAAAAAATCAAACAGTGGAATTCATTCCGATAATTTCAGATGAGTTAGAACATGAGAGAATCAAAGTAAATTATAGAAGTCTATTAATTCTTTATTTGTATGGAAACCCATAAATTGTGGCTGCTAAATTTTGGAAATATCGAATACAGAATCAAAAATAAATTCCTTTTATTAACAATGCTGTTGTAAACAGAAATTCATCAAAAGTGACACCTCAGAAAAGCTAAAATATTGAATTTTTGGAACTTTTGATAGTGCACGTTTTTAAATATTAATTAAAGTAAATGTATATTTTGTAAAGATTCTTTTTAATAAAAAATAAAATTTTGAAGAAGAACACAAAATCTTCTGAAAAATAATATCACATAAACTCATATTATTTTCTAATATATAACTATTTTATATAAAAATCAAATTCAATGATCTTAAAAGCGAAGGATAAACCTCAAAATTTACGAATATAATGAGTGGGAATATAATGCTTATCTATCATAAAACCATATGAAATATCAATTTTTGCTTTACGCCTAATTTTTGACGACAATTAGCAAAAATGTTAAATGTTAACACTCAGTCCATTTGAATATGAAAAATAAAATTGACTTTGATTAAATGTTTTTATTTATCATGCAATTCTTCTTGCGACCAAAGATTTGAATAAAAGTTCAAAAAATAAGATAGCTTAAAAAATAATATACGGTAGTGTTTACTAATAGATGAATAGTATATAAATTCTATTAAAATGGATTTGATCCAAAAAAATATAAAACCAAAAATAATTGTTATAATTTAAATGAAGAAGTAATTTAAAACGATTTTATTTATGATCAAATTTTATATATTTTTTTGGATCAAATCCATTTTAATAGAATTTATATACTATTCATCTATTAGTAAACACTACCGTATATTATTTTTTAAGCTATCTTATTTTTTGAACTTTTATTCAAATCTTTGGTCGCAAGAAGAATTGCATGATAAATAAAAACATTTAATCAAAGTCAATTTTATTTTTCATATTCAAATGGACTGAGTGTTAACATTTAACATTTTTTGCTAATTGTCGTCAAAAATTAGGCGTAAAGCAAAAATTGATATTTCATATGGTTTTATGATAGATAAGCATTATATTCCCACTCATTATATTCGTAAATTTTGAGGTTTATCCTTCGCTTTTAAGATCATTGAATTTGATTTTTATATAAAATAGTTATATATTAGAAAATAATATGAGTTTATGTGATATTATTTTTCAGAAGATTTCATTCTATATGCCTATGAAAAGTACTCTCAAAACTAACTTTTTCCTAATTATAATTAAATCTAGAATATTGTATTATGCTTAGTATTATTTCATTTTTCTCATTCAATTTAGAATTTACAAATGTCAAAAAATTAAGAGCTGTCACTTTTGATGAATTTCTGTTTATTACAATGCTATGAAAAGAAGGAACTTAAATAATATATATATGTGTATTATGATTTTAGTCAATTTGTAAAATCGTAATTTTTAATTTGAATTAAATAACATTTATTCGACCTTTCCTTCTTGCTGAGTTGGCTCTGTTGGCTTTGCTTCTTCAGCTTTTGGTTCCTCAGCCTTAGGAATTTCTTCCTTTGGCTCTTCTGCCTTTGGAGCTGGTGTTTCTGTTTGCGGCTTAGCTGGAGTACCTGTAGGAAGTGGTGTCTTGAAGAGTATGTGCAAAACTTGTGGAATTGCAAGAACTCCTGGTAATATTAAAACAAGAGAAACAACTACGAAGTTAAACCAGAATGGAGGAACAAATTTGAAGAAAACTGCAATAAAGATTGAAACGAAGATGGCAATAATTGAACCCTTTTGTGATAATTCGCCAGCTTGCTTGATTGTGCATGTTTCTGGTATATATTTGCCGATTAAATCATTTAATTCCTTTAATGATCTTACATGGTTTGATGCTGTTGGGTCATCTTTTGGAAGTTCGCTGAATAAGAATTTGTCAAGCTTGGAACCAACATATGCGTAAATAACAACTGTCATATATACTGCACAAGCAAGTAAAGATAATGATGCAAAGAATCCTGCTTCAACAGAATAAGCAAAAGCAAATAAACTCCAAATTATGAAAAGAAGAGCTGCATATATGATAGGTCTCTTGAAAAGAAGGATTTCTTGAGCAAGTATCACCCATTTTTCATATGGCTTAAGCTGTTCTTCAAGATTACAAACCATTTTTTTTGAAATAAAAAACAAACTTTACAATGATCGAGAATTTATATTGCCAAAATAAACAATAGATCCATCAGACTACAACTACTTAATCTGACATATTCTACATTGCAATATGACTAAATGAGCAATGAGAACATGGTTTTTACAAACAAATCATCAATATCTTTGATTAAAACTCAATATCTAGGTAACAATATGAAGGGCAAAGATAGATCTACATCAGATAAAGTAATATGCAAGCAATTCAATATGAAAATGAAAAGCAATACTGGTTTTTCGTCAGAAACAATTCGAGACTAATTTTTTCTGAGGAAAACGATACAAAATTTTAATGATTTGTGAAGTCTGTGGCGAAAATCAGGCAAAATATAAGTGTCCTGCTTGCGGCTGTCAGACTTGTTGTTTAGCATGTGTGAAAAAACACAAAATAGATAGAAATTGTTCAGGTCAAAAGCCAAAATCCGAATTTATTCCTGTAAAAGACATGAACGAGCATACACTTTATAAAGACATTCAACTTCTTGATCAAGCATCGATTGCAAAGTTAAATGCTGCTGATAAACTCGAAAAATCTAATAAACCACCGAGATATTTGCAAAAGATTAAAAAAGAATGCTCCCAAAGAGGAATTGATATTAAATTTATGCCAAATCAAGCTACAAGAAGACAAGAAAACAAGACATATTTAACTCAGGACGGAAAAAATCTAATGTGGACAACAAAATGGCGATTTTTCAATGATAGACAGGAAAAGAAGTTCGAAATGATTCTACCACCTATACAGGATGATACAAATCTTGCTTCTGCTCTTAAAGCGATTATTGACGCATCTCAAGATGATTTCGTTGCTCATTTAAATCTAAAAGACCTTGCTGTACTTATGGTAGCTGAGGGCCTTGAAAATGGTCAGTTTTTTGATCTTTCTCTTGATTTTGACTTAAATACAAATTTAACTGCGAAAACAATCATCGAATACCCAATATTTCACGTTCTTCCAAAGGATCATCTAAGCGACTACAAACTGGCTGATCCTTTCGCTTTATGCCAGTTCAAAGAAGAAAAAGTTGAAGAAGTTAAAGAAAATGTTGAAGAAGAAGTCCTCCCTGACTACGAAAAGATAAAATCAGCTCTGAAATTAGATCTAATCAAGAACGTGATGAAACAAGTTGATGAAGGAAATTAATTTTTTTCTTATTTAACAATTTTTAGTTTCATAAGCTTACTCATAGTGTGGCAAATGATTTAATATAATTTGTTCTTTTATTTTAATGATTTTAATAATTTTCAACAAATTTACTTCAAATTAGCCTTCCATTGATGAATTTTGATAATCCATAGTCATTATATAATGACTAACTTATTAAATTATCCGATTTCACTTGATTTAGATCATGAAATTTTATTGCGTCATTTTACCTTATGAAGAGAGATTAATTCGCATATCTGTTCAAATGTACTAATATTAATGTATGTTGTAAATGTTTATTTATGTAAAAATTAATTTATAAAAATATTTGAGCTAAAACAAGTATCTACGTACTAGTATTTCAGTAACCAAAAGTAGTTAAATGCGTTAAGAACTAATATTTTATACAATAAAAGAAAATGAAAAAGTTAAATTTGCTAAATAATGAAAAACAATGGTGCGGGAATATTACTTTATTGCATACTGTATCAGTTTTGATTCAATCATGCGAATTAAGGAAGACATCTATATATACATTTAAAATTAAATCTTATCTATCATATCCTGCATTGCCTTTTCTTTCTCAAGCAATTTTTCAAACTGTTCTTCTGTTTCGAGATGACTTGCAATAAGTTCATTTGTTTGGTTAGATATTTCGTTGAAATTATCTGATATATTATGAATTTGATCAATTATATGGAGTATATTTGAGGCAATTTCAGTAATTGTCATTCCATTTATGGAAGTTTGAAGGTCATCAAGCTGCTGGGAAGTTGATGCAATAGAATTAGAAAGGTCTTCTGTTTTACTTTCATCTCTGTCAAGATTTTCTCTCACAATCTGATAGTTATCTTCCATTATATGCTTTCAATAGTTGAAAAAAAGATCTTTCTTGTTGTTTTAATTGAATTAAAATCTTGTCATGTAAAGTTGACAAAAATAACATTTTTTTGAATGGCAGTAAATCTTTCCCATATGAGAAAGGCAGCTAGTTCACCTAATTTTACGAACGTTGAAGTTCCATTGAAGCAAACGCAAACAACTATTAATAATGCAATTATTTCTGGTAAAGATTGCATCTTTACGTCCCAAACTAAGCAAAGCGAATCACAAATTTTGATTGAAAACGCTGTTGCACTGCAATCTACAGCAAATACTTTCAATGAATCTGTTTCTAATCTTAATATGAAACGAAATCATAAATTACATGAACAACTTATTGAAACGAATAATACTTTGGAATCAACATTGAGCACTTTTACCGATTATTCAAAAACTGTGAGTTCGAATAGATCATCAACTATTAAATCGATTTTGAATGGGGCAACATCTATTCTACCAGGCATTGTTTTCTATGTTTTTGACTGGGTTAGGTCTTAGACTAACCAATTGCTAAGTATTGATATTTTCATTTGATATTCGATTAAATTATGTTTGTATATTGTTATTTACTCATATTTATATAAGGAAATATTCTCATAGTAGGGAAATATCACAAAGAACCAACGAAATAATATACTATCATATATAATTGAGATTTTTGTAATTGAAAATATTATAGAATAAAGCAATTTACTTCAAGATAACAACAATTCTAAGTATTAGGAATCCCAGTATATAATTGCAAATGAAAATAAAATTAAAAATGAGTGAAGCAAATTCTGTTATTCTTCGTGCTTCAATAGAATCTCTTCAGAAATATATAGAAATGCAAATGTCAGTCATTTCTGATACAAGGAAAAAGCTCGTATTTCTCAAACCACAAAAAAAGACACTTTCGTTTAGCTCATCTAATATTGCAAGTTTTGATCCAGTTGATCCTCGAATAAAACGCGAATACCTATCTAAAAGGATGACAAAAATTGCGAAGTTACTTAAATTAATGAAGATAGAAAAACAAAATACAAAGCGTGATGTACAGAATGCGATTGATTCAATGAAAAACGAAAATATTTCTCTTCAACAGCAAATTGATATGCTTTATTCGCGTTTGAACAAATAATTTACACATCGCTGGTTTTTTTTGTTTATTATTTCATCTTAATGTAAAAATATCTATTGTTTGTATTAATCCTCAACTTTTTATGCATGAATTACTTCTTACACTATTCATTTCTTTAATAAACATAGTTCATTAGAATAAAATTAATATTATTGATCAAATAATCATTGAAATAAATGACAATCATATATAATAACGAAGAAAATATCTCGCAAACAATTATTTTAACTATCCAAGCGTAAATTAATCTTGGTCAATAATAATCTCAGAAAGAGAACAATATAACAAAAATTGACATGAAAGATCCGAATATATGGTGAAGTAACAAGTGAGATTAAGCATATAAAATCTCAATTTTCAAAATCTTTCAAATTGCGACTAAAGTAAATAGAAATGCACCTTTACTTTTCCAATAATGAGACAAACATCAGATTATTTCCAAATTCATTATGATGGGCTACTGACTTTGATTGATTTATTCAATTCAATGATATAAGCGATCATTATATATCTTAGATCACAGCTTGGCATATATTATCATTCCTCGGTTCTTTTCTTTCCACGGTTTTAATCTTAAACAATAGAAACTCTCTTATTGATTTTGGAGAAATTTGAGAGAAATTTCCATCGGTTTTTGTTCATTCAATTCCGATGTTTAATGACCAATTCTGGAAACAATCTGATGATTTGCATCAGTATGGCCTCTACATCAATATTTCATTAACAAACATCATTTTTAACACTTTTTGTTGAAAATTAACACTCATTCACAATTTTTTGAGAGCCCTTTCAATATTTAAATTTTTAAGAAAACATATCTCATCAGAATAGCATAAAAATGCAACTCAATACACTCAATCCAACAACAAGAGAGCTACCATCATTCAGCGAAGCCCTTAAAGTTGCAGTTGCCGGCGAAAAAATGTCACACGATCACATCGTGAGGCTTTTAAATCCACGTACAAAGGATGAGATTGATGCTTTACACAGTGCTGCAGGTGCAGTCACACAGAGAGTCTTCCATAACGAAGTTTCAGTTCGTGGTATTGTCGAATTCTCCAACGCTTGCGAAAAGAGATGCCATTATTGCGGTGTTAACTCCTACGAACCATTCTTGATCCCACAAGAAGCTATTCTTAACAGTTGCAAATTCATGTGGGCCAAGGGATATAGAAACCTTGTTCTTCAATCTGGTGAAATCACATCTCGTCAAAGAATGGATTGGATTGCATCTCTTCTTGATAAGATTTTCAAAAAGTACGGCAAAGACAAAGACACTGGTATGTGCATTATTCTCAGTATCGGTGAATTAGACTACGCAGATTATAAGAGATTTTACGATATGGGTGTACAGAGATTCTTATTGCGTATCGAGTCAAGTAATCCAAAGCTCTACGCTACAATGCATCCAGCAGACCACTCTTGGGCGAGAAGAGTCGAATGTTTACAGAATCTTAAGAAAATCGGCTATGTTACAGGAAATGGCTGCCTCATTGGCGTTCCTCATCAAACATTTGATGATCTTGCAGGAGATATTGAGTTCTTCCGCGATGGCCATTACCCAATGATTGGAATGGGACCTTATCTTATTCATAATGATACAAAGATGGGCCGCGAGATCCTTGCATCAACAACCCCTGATGAGCGTAAAGAAATCGATGCTAGAAAGGTCCAAGCTACTCTTAATATGTATGATACTCTCAGACTTGCTTGTCCATACAACAATATCGCTGCTACAACAGCCCTTGATACATTGTTCCCAGGCGGTAAGTTTATTGCTCTTCAGGGAGGTTCCAATGTCTGCATGCCCATAATTACTCCAAAGGTCTACAGAGGAGGCTATCAGCTTTACGAAGGTAAGAAGGAAGTCGATGAAGATAACGAGCAGACTCACCAGAGATTGGTTAACCTCTGCAAGAGACTCGGAAAGACTCCTGTATTCAACAGATGGAACCATCCTCCTGCTTACTACCAGGAACGTGAGAGAGCTTTGAAGGAAGGTAAGTCCGTTTAAAAGTAATTATAAAGGTTTATATATTAACTTAAGTTTTTTTTTAACTTGTTTGAGATACGTATGTATTTAGTGTGACGAATTCATTCGTTTTCTACTTTAGGATTAAGTCCTTGTTGTTTTGGTTGTTGAGTTTATTGCAAATTTCAAAAAAACGTATTCAATTATAAAAAGTGACAATTTTTCAAAAGCGATTTTTTAAGAATGGAAAATTACGTTTTGCAGAGAGAAATAAGCAATGATGCGAGTGGACAATTCACACTTTACCTAGAGAAGCCCACATCACACCATGTTGTCATTCGAAAGCAGTCTCTTGCTGCAATGCCCAGAGAAGATTGGGATTCTGTACTAGAAGAAGAGCTTTCTTTCTGCTCACTCGATCATCCTAACATTCTTAAGTATCATACAGCATTTATTAAAGATGATTCGCTTTATACAGTCATGGATTTTGCTCAAGGCGGTAATTTAGAGCAAAAAATTAAAAAATCGCAGGGCATGTTATTCGATGAAGATCAAATTCTCGATTGGTTTACAAAAATAAGTTTAGCTCTTAAATATATGCATGATAGAGGATTTTTACACCATTCTATTCAAGCAAAGAACATTGTTTTCCTGAGGAACGGAATGCTTAAAGTTGCAGGTATCGTAAATACCAAGATTCTTGTCGGAACAACAAACTTTACGCAGACAGCTCAAACAATGCCTTATTTCTTCGCCCCTGAGATATGCCAAGGAAAGCAATATACAGACAAAACAGAGATATGGGCATTAGGATGCTTACTATACCAGCTATGCGCTCAAAAACCTCCTTTTGAAGGCAAAAGTATTCCAGCTTTAATTCGAAAGATTCTTAAGGGAAACATCACACCGATACCATATATTTTTTCATCTAATTTACGAAACTTAGTTACAGCATGCCTCCAAAAGTTCCCTTCTCGTCGTCCAAACATAAATAAAATTTTGAATTACGATTTCATCATGTCAGAACTACATAATATCCTCGATGCCTCGATCAAAATCGTCGAGACAAAGAAGTCCGCTAAGCCAGCAAAGCATAAAAAGTGTTCTAGACCTTCAAAATTGATGACAAAAGCAAAAATGAACGAAGAACTCAAAAAAGACTTCCAACATCTCGAACTACAGTCTCCAAAGAAGGCAAAGCCACCGGCTAACAGCGATTTGAGCATAACTGGAAGATTTAATATCAAAGTTCACGACGAAGAAGAGGAAGCAGAGGCCAAACCCAAAACACCTGATGATGACATCAAAGAGAAAGTCCGTAGGAAGAGGGATGATCTCTTAGAACAAGTTTTCAGACAAAAACATCCAGAATTGTTCGCAGAAGAAGGCGAAGAAGTCCAACCACCACCAAAAATGAACCTCTCAGATATCATACATATATCAGATGACTCATCAGATAATGACGATGATGCAGATGAATTCAAAGTTCTTGCAGACATCGCTCAAAGCATTTTTGATAAACCACCTGATGCAACAAGCGAAAAAACTATTACTATGAGTAATAAGAACGGCCTGGGAAGCCATTACTTCACAGGAACAAGCATTTTAAGTGATGTTGATGAAAGTGTGTCACTTTTTGAAAGAATCGAAATGCTTCGAGTTAGACTGGAAAAAGCAATTGGACTTGATCCTTTCATTGAAGCCTACAATTATGTTAAGAATTCAGGAGATAAGACAAATCAAAAGGAAATTGAGTCCCATTTAAGACAAATCTTGAAGACAGATGAGCAGTTCGCTTATTATCCAGCTATACTCCACCTTTGTCTCCTTGAAGAAGCTCAATAACTTGATTGATAATAAATTTTTTAAAGTTGTATGTAAAAAACAAACCTTTATACATTATTTTCTACTTTTTTATAATTGATTTGAATTTATCTTTGTTCAATGAAAGAAAAAAAATATGATTTTTTTTTAGTATGAAAAAGTAACAAAATCATCATTTTCAACTGACCTACGAAGAATCCAAACACAATATATTGTATTAAAAATAAAATGCTATGGGATGGGAGCCCAAAAATTAAAAGAAAATGAGTAAGAGAATTAAATATTGAGATATTTTTATCAATTGTATATTTAAAAATCTGGATCAAACAAATCATTATTTTCTTCAAAAGTATAGTGGCGCGAACCATTATCATACGCTCCATATCTGAGTAACAAGTCTCGAATTCCACTTGATTTTGCCATTGAAAGAGCCGTTCTTCCTGAATAGGGTCCGCGGATGACTTGGGAATTAATCAAATTAAAATTACCATTTTCCAATATGAGTCTGCATGCATTATAGTCATCATTATTGACTGCACACATTAATGTTGTCCACCCCTCTTCATTTATGAAATTGATATCAGCACCACGATCTAAAAGTATACGAATTCCTTCAGAGTTTCCGTAATTTGCTGATAACCATAAAGCAGTGGAACAACCTGGAGGATGAAGATCGACATCATTGTAGTGTCTACACAACTCTTCAATTAATTGATTGTCTTCTTTTCTTGCCGCAAATGTCAATACATTATCAGAACTATTACTTGCATAAATTATCTTATTTTCAACAGCAAAATTTATGGCTTCATATTTATTCATTACAACAGCTGCTGATAATATTGAAACAATTGTGTAAACATCGTTTTTACCAACTAATTTGTAAAGTTTTGTCATGATCTCATCTTGATTAGAGCTATTTTCTTTTTCAATTAGATTCATAATAGAATTAACGGTATTCTTTCCAATAATGCTTGATAATGCACTAAAAACCGTACTTAATTGATTTTTTTCTTGAATATCGAGATTTACATGCTGAATTATTTCTTCAATATCTGATTTATCGAATTGATCTTGAAGATTTGCAGTAAGAATAAGTAGATCTGATGGAGTAAGTTTTGAAAAATCCAAGATCTGGCAAAGTTCTTCTTTCGATCTGCAGCTAATGAAGTTTTGGTCTCTAACATAATCTCCTATTCTTTCTGCAAGAAGTTGATAGTCTAATCCTTTGAATGACATCAAAGAAAAATGAAGTTAAAAAATTTTGACTAAAATTATTTTTTTTCTTACCTTTGACTTATTTTCTTCCACAGTTTTAATCACAAGAATATTCTTTTCGAACTCTAGATCTATGGCTTTCTACTCTTATATTTAAAATGGATGGGCAAACCCAAATTTTAGCTAAAAGTGACAGAGAAAAAAAAACGTTTAGTATTAAAAAAAAAGACCGATGAGAGCTTCGTTCGAAATATAGAGGGAACTGAGAATGCGCAACCATTCTCAGGGAATATTGGATGCTATTCCCGTTCCCTCTGTATGGAAAATTGAGGTTTTCAAAGGGAGTTAAAATAATATCAAATTTATACTAATTTACTTCAAAATACAAAAGTATTTGACAGCTAAAATTAGTTACTTTAGCAAGCCTATCAATACCCTTTTACGATTATTGCTACTTTTTCGAAATAAAAGTAAAAACAAATTTATACTAATTTACTTCAAAATACAAAAGTATTTGACAGCTAAAATTAGTTACTTTAGCAAGCCTATCAATACCCTTTTACGATTATTGCTACTTTTTCGAAATAAAAGTAAAAACAAATTTATACTAATTTACTTCAAAATACAAAAGTATTTGACAGCTAAAATTAGTTACTTTAGCAAGCCTATCAATACCCTTTTACGATTATTGCTACTTTTTCGAAATAAAAGTAAAAACAAATTTATACTAATTTACTTCAAAATACAAAAGTATTTGACAGCTAAAATTAGTTACTTTAGCAAGCCTATCAATACCCTTTTACGATTATTGCTACTTTTTCGAAATAAAAGTAAAAACAAATTTATACTAATTTACTTCAAAATACAAAAGTATTTGACAGCTAAAATTAGTTACTTTAGCAAGCCTATCAATACCCTTTTACGATTATTGCTACTTTTTCGAAATAAAATAAATTTATTATCAAAAACCTTTTTTTTCTTAGTAAAAATAAACGAAATTTTTTACCTTATGAACTTTTGATGGAAATATGCAAATTTAAAATAATAAAGAAAGCCGCGAGCGAATCGAGCGGCTTAGGTCTAAGATTTTGATTCAAATCTTTGCTTATATTCCTTAAATTCTTTATGAAACTCGCAACAGTTCCATAAAAAATTTTAAATTCTAAACTGTCGAAATTACCGATCGGTAATCACACCCTTCACGGGTGTGTCACTTTTAGCTAAAATTACCCCTACTCGGGTGGAATATTCAAATTGCCAATCTGACACATATCCAATTCAATATTTGAAAAGGCCATGCTATAGATTCGCTCAAAAATTTTTGAATGGAATTGTATCTTGTTTATTTGTAAATAAAGAATTATTTTATATGCAATTATGACATTTTCCAAATTTGTAAAATTTCTTCTCAAATTTTGTTATTCATTTTTAAGAATAATATCATTTTTCTTCACTCCCCTGTCTTTAAATGGAATTTGAATGAACACAAAATTTGAGAACAAGGTCGAAATTTTTAATCAGAAAATTTTTGAATAGATTTCATTATTTTTGTTGTATGGCCTTCAACTATACCTTTACCAACTATGCTACAACTGACAAGAAAAGCTATGAGAGATGTATGAATGAGTTTACAGGTGTAGAACTTAATCATGCTCTCAATTATTTTAAAGATCACCAAGTTACCAACCAGGTCGTATGTATTTTGCTCGCATTCATTAAACATCAAGATGATAGCTTCCCTTTTGTATACAGAGAGTATCCTCGCCACAAAAATTTAACTTTATTATGTCTTGAAAAAAAATGGGAACAATATGGATATATTTTTTCAAATGTGGTGTATAAAAAGTTTAAATCAGAGAAAAATATACCAAATGCTGATATAAATGACTACTACAACTGTACCACTTTCCAATCAAGACTTGAATTATTCCGAAATCTTGATGACAACGTTGTAACCATCATTTCATATGAAGATAGTCAAAATTATATGAGCAATTCATTCTATATTACAGTGAAAAAAAATAATCAAAAATATGAATTACAAAATGTGTATCATATTATTAATCAAACTATTAATACATACACATACGACGATATATATGAAAAAATCATTAAAGGTAGCAAAAAACTTCAAGCCAAAGATACAGAAACAGGCGATTCACCAGTATCATCTGATACAATCACCCAAAATAACTCTGATGAGTCGAACGAATCTGCAGATACTGCCGGAACTAATAATGAGGACTCTACAGCACTTGCAGATGTTTCAGAAACTAATACTGATGAGTTGTACGCATATTTTGATAACTTTTTTGAAATCACGCCAGATGAAAGCCCCTTTTAAAATATGGACCTCATGAATTCTTTTTTTTATTTGTTTAATTAAACTCTAAATATGAATTTCTACATATTTTTCTGAAAGATGAACAATCAATATTAAGGAAAGAGTACCCTAAGGAGACTTTATGCCAGAAAATGAGTTTATAATTTACTTGATTTGAAGATTTTGATAAAAAAACACTTTGCAAGGCAAGATATAGAAAGATAAGAAACTAAGTAAAGTCAACGTTCCTAGTTGATAGACTAGAATTCTGAGAAAAGTTTTTTAAAATTCTGCATCTCAAAAAATTACGCTCCGAATCCATTGCTTTTAAAAAAATTCTTCATAAGCGATTATTGTAAAGTGTTATTTTATAGGTAAATATAACAAAATAGAAAATTAGAACTTCAATCCTTTCAATAAGTTGCCAAAGTTGCCACTCTTTAATTGTTTGGCAAGTCCTGGGTTGATGTTCTTAGCCATTTGTTGAGCAGCCTGCATCATCTCGTTTTGGCTCATCTTTCCAGAATTTTGTAACATATTCGAGAACATCTTGTTCTTACTGAAAGCTTTGAATGCCTGTGCGAAGTTCTTTTGCTCCTTGATGACCATTTCTATCATTTCTGTCTTCATACCTGTTCCGCGACTAATTCTAACGATTCTGTTTTTCTCTTTGAACAAAGATGGGTCATCCATCTCTTTGTCGCTCATTGAATCAATAATAACTAAGTATTTCTTAAGTGTTGACGTCATATCATCATTACTAAAGCCTTTTGGAAGCAAGGACTTCATACCAACGGCATTAATAATGCCTGTAATATCACCCATATCGAGGATGGTCTTATATTGCTCGTACATTTCGCGGAAACCGTATTGGCCTTTCATAATTCTCTGGGCGAGCTCTGCTTGCTTATCCATGTCAACAACTTCGAGCTTATGCATCAAAGCCTTCGGATCTGCATAGCCAAGGATGTTGGCGATGAAGGAATTCGGATCAAAAATTTCAAGTTGATCCATTTCTTCTCCTGTACCGTAGAAAGCGATTGGACACTTAGTAGCAGCAACTGCAGAGATGGCACCACCGCCCTTTGTACCGGAATCGAGCTTTGTCATGATAATTGAGCCAATATCAACTGCCTTTGAGAAAGCTGTTGCTTGGTCAAATGCCGATTGACCAATGTTGGCATCGAGGACGAAAATAATTTCATCTGGGTTGATAGCGTCTTGCATTTCTTGCATTTCCTGGAAAAGAGCATTTTCTTGGGCATGCTTACCAGAAGTATCGACAATAATCATATCGTAACGCTCACGCTTGAATTTTTCGACGCCAGAGATGGCAACGCTGATTGGATCGATATTTACAAGATCTACGTAGTATGGAAGGCCAACGCTCTGAGCATTTTGCATAAGCTGCTCACGGGCACCAGCTCTGAACGTATCTGCACCAACAAGTCCGACTTTGAAACCACGCTTCTTGTAATAGAGACCGAGCTTTGTACATGTTGTGGTTTTACCGGAGCCTTGAAGACCAACGAACATATAAACGTTTGGCTTTCCTTTTGTTGGTTTGTAGGCATCAACTTTAGGATCAACTAAATCTACAAGTAATCTGAGTGTCTCACGCTCGATATGCTTTTTGATTGAAACACCGGGTGGAAGGTCTGATACTTTGATTGATATGAGCTGCTTGAAAAACTGAAGAACAATTGGACCAGAAACATCAGCTGCTTTCAATGCGTTTGTCATATCCTTTGCATATTGTTTGACGAATTCATCATCAACCTTGCTTGCCTTGCCAAGGTTGCTAAGACCAGCAAGGATCTTTTCACCGAGATCTTGAAGCACCATATTTTGTCACTTTTTAGAGGATTTTCAGCTCGGCGAACAATTTTATTTTGTAGCAAAGTAAATTGACATATGAATAAAAATGGGCATCTATAAAAATACAAGAAATTAAAAGCAGATTTTATCATGTAATTCCATCAAATTAAAGTTATTGAAGGTCTTCGACTCCTATGAACATGCTTCTGTTGTAAACAGAAATTCATCAAAAGTGACACCTCAGAAAAGCTAAAATATTGAATTTTTGGAACTTTTGATAGAGCACGTTTTTAAATATTAATTAAAGTAAATGTATATTTTGTAAAGATTCTTTTTAATAAAAAATAAAATTTTGAAGAAGAACACAAAATCTTCTGAAAAATAATATCACATAAACTCATATTATTTTCTAATATATAACTATTTTATATAAAAATCAAATTCAATGATCTTAAAAGCGAAGGATAACCCTCAAAATTTACGAATATAATGAGTGGGAATATAATGCTTATCTATCATAAAACCATATGAAATATCAATTTTTGCTTTACGCCTAATTTTTGACGACAATTAGCAAAAAATGTTAAATGTTAACACTCAGTCCATTTGAATATGAAAAATAAAATTGACTTTGATTAAATGTTTTTATTTATCATGCAATTCTTCTTGCGACCAAAGATTTGAATAAAAGTTCAAAAAATAAGATAGCTTAAAAAATAATATACGGTAGTGTTTACTAATAGATGAATAGTATATAAATTCTATTAAAATGGATTTGATCCAAAAAAATATAAAACCAAAAATAATTGTTATAATTTAAATGAAGAAGTAATTTAAAACGATTTTATTTATGATCAAATTTTATATATTTTTTGGATCAAATCCATTTTAATAGAATTTATATACTATTCATCTATTAGTAAACACTACCGTATATTATTTTTTAAGCTATCTTATTTTTTGAACTTTTATTCAAATCTTTGGTCGCAAGAAGAATTGCATGATAAATAAAAACATTTAATCAAAGTCAATTTTATTTTTCATATTCAAATGGACTGAGTGTTAACATTTAACATTTTTTGCTAATTGTCGTCAAAAATTAGGCGTAAAGCAAAAATTGATATTTCATATGGTTTTATGATAGATAAGCATTATATTCCCACTCATTATATTCGTAAATTTTGAGGTTTATCCTTCGCTTTTAAGATCATTGAATTTGATTTTTATATAAAATAGTTATATATTAGAAAATAATATGAGTTTATGTGATATTATTTTTCAGAAGATTTCATCCTATATGCCTACGAAAAGTACTCTCAAAACTAACTTTTTCCTAATTATAATTAAATCTAGAATATTGTATTATGCTTAGTATTATTTCATTTTTCTCATTCAATTTAGAATTTACAAATGTCAAAAAATTGAGAGCTGTCACTTTTGATGAATTTCTGTTTATTACACTTCTGGATCAACTATATGTAAAGATCTCCCAATAATAAAATATTTAGCTTAAGCTATGGATTCTAGGCTTTCACTCGTATTCTAAAATAAGTCATAAAAATTGAATTATGAAAATTATTTGAAAAAAAAGAAAAAATGGGGACTCTAGGAATCGAACCTAGCTCTTTTAATTATCACATAAATTTATTTAAGTGATTTTGAACTTATTCTCCCATTGAACTAAGCCCCCAACCCACAAACTTCCAGTATTGGCTCTTATATTGAATTAAATTTTTCTAAAATTTGAGAACCAAAGTTTACCTTCGCCATTTCTAGCCTGCAGGGAGTAGCATCTTTTGGTTACACCACACTTTAAGAATCCAATTAAAGAGAAATTCATTGTTTGCGATCAATTGATGAATATACACTTTAAAATATAATTGTGAGGTCTTTTCTTTTAAAAAATAGAATCGTGAATTTACACTTAATTCACATTTATTTTCAGTGTGGAAAACGACTATATTCAAATCTTCTTAATTATTCAAAGCTTATTTCACAAAAATAAATATCATATTTCTTTATAGTTTTAATATGTTAATCATACATATGAATTTGAACTAAATAATTACAAAACTAGAAAATCAAAAAATGAAATTTATTACAAAACAATGATATAGAGATAATAAAGACTCATATTCTGCATACTCGACTTGATTTTTCAGTTGATTTCTGAACTTCAAGTTTATCTACAAGATCAAACGTGAAATCAGCTACAACTGGTCGATGATCAGAAAACATAACATCCATGTATGACGTATAACTGTTAACAGTTAAAGTTTTTCGACTATTTGCAAAGAATAAGATTCGATCGCAATATGATGGAACTCTTTCCTTCTTTGATGTATCATATAGCATAGAATCCTTATCAAACTTATATGTTGGTGGAAATGTGATCTCTTCTTCGCTAAATCCGCTAAAAACATGAATTGAAGTTCTTTCTCTTTGTAATTGATCATATAAAATCAAATTCGGGTACATACCAGCCATTGATAGCCTTTTGGCATCATCGTATGACAAATCTATACGGTAATTTAAGTCTCCAAAGAAGAAAATAAAATTATGCATTTCTCTTGGGTCGCAACCAGAGTATGATATGATTTTTGTCATTATATCCGAATAATTTCTGTTTCTATCTAGGATTGCTTTCTCATGAGCTGCAAAATGAGCACAAATAAAAAGAATTTTCGTTTGATCATAATTTATAGATACTGCTACAGCACCTTTATTACCATAGGCACCATCAGCACCGGTAGGGATGAAGTATTCATTGTTTGCCCATACATATTTTTCATGTTCTTTCTTTACTGCAATAAATAACTTGAGACCAAGCATTGTCATATTGGTCATTATAAAGTATTCCTTTTCAAATTTCGTTTCTAATATCTGTGAAAGTGCATTTTGCTTGGCATCACAAGCTAATGGAATAAATGGGCCAACTTCTTGAAAACCGAGAATATACATATCATAACCCTTTGGAAGGAATGAAAATGCATCAAGTGGTACATCTGATGCTGCCAAATTAAATGTCATAACTAAGATATGCGCTTTTTTTTCCATTTTTTAAAAAATTTCAAAACTTCCAATCAAATAAAAATCAAGTAATAACCATACAGCCACAAACTATGACCAGTGATTAGAATATATTTCTCATAAATAAGCAAAATCTCTTTTAAATTCTCACAAAGATTTAGGTAAAAAAGGGTGTTGGCGTCCTAAGGCGTCCTAGTGTAAATTTCTCAAAATTGTGATATTTACATCACATTTTTGAGAGGTTTATGGGCGTCCTAAGGGAAAATTGAATAGCTAGGGCGTCCCGAATTTTCATTCTAAGATTTAAATATATTATATACTTAAGTATAATACAAGCAATATAAAAATTAAATTTTTATTATGTTAACTTATAAGAAATTTTTTTGAATTATCGTTGATTTATTGTAATCTTTCCAGGCTATACTTTTGAAATCAACTTTACCTGTCATACGCATTAATGTAGTAGATGTCCAGGTGTAGCTATTATATCCCAGCAACATTGGTATTTTATCATTGTAAGATATCAAAATGAAGCGTTTTTTCAGATATAATTTTTCGTAAATTTTTCAAAAATAAGATGGTAAAAAAGCCTCGACTTGCTCGAAAAATAGTAGTAGGATAGGAAGGGTTGTGTGACTTTTTTTGTTACGTCTATATATAGATGAAGGTATATTTTCACATCTTCTATATATAGATGATATAAAAATTTTTTCTTACGTTTTTTAAGTCATGAATTCGTAAGAAAGCGCGACATTATTAAATAAATTAGTAATAAATATTATATACTAAACGCATTAAAAAATTAACATTAATTTTAAAATAATTTATTTTTTATCTTTTATAAAAGAAGCTATATATAGATGATGTCAGATATTCCGCGATTAATTAAACATTGTTTAAATCCTGAATGGAATCAATGGAGTCATAATCAAAGACCTCATAAACGAGTAAAAGAAATTAGAAATAATTATTTTCATGAATGAAAGATTCACTACCATAATGAAATAAAAAAATTTTTTAAAAATAAACTTTAAAAATTATGTCTTACATTTTTGAATAATTTATTTTTAATTCGTATGAAATGAGCGTCAAAACTAACAACGTTAAAAAATTAGGATTCACAAACGAGGAAATAAAGGATATATTAGATGAGATGTGTTATGAAGTTAGTAAATATTATTTAAGAAATTGTCAAAAATTTGCCGAGTTATTAAATGATTTAGATTATGATGGAAAAATGAATAAAGATGATGTTATAAATTTCTTATATCCCACATCTGAAGAAGAAAAACCTAAAGAACCTGATGTTTTCCCTGAATATTATGAAGAACGGATTAAAGATGATGATGAATACAATGAAATTGAAAAACTGGAAAAAATAAGAGATGAAATAGATGAAAAAATTAAGGAATTAAGAGAAGTTGAAAAATATAATGAAAATGAAGTAGAGGGTTTAATGAATATCCCAGCTTCAGAATCAGCAGTTCAGAAATCTCATGAAGAAAGATATAAAAATTATGTCTCAGAATCAACACAAAATTTATTAGATGGCGAAATAGATGAAACACTTTCAGAAGAAGGTACTAAATTTATTCGTAAACATAAGTTACAATTTATTGATAATGAAAAATACCCTTGTATCTTACTTTCACCCCCTCTCGATTCTGAGAAATTCAAAAAAGCTCTTAAAAATGTGACATATGCAACTAATACGATTAAGAAAGAAGATCATGATATTTACACAAATTATTATTTAAATAAATGCACAGGTGTTGATAAAGTTTTTGATTTATTAGATAAAATATCAAAAGAAACCATTGGAACATATAAAATTTTGTGTGATTGTGGTTTCATTGTTGAAGATACTAATAATATTTCATATGAAAGAACAGCACCGAAGGAAGACGAGGTTGAAAGGTCTATACCATTCGTTATTAAGAATATAAAAGATATGAAAACTTATAAACATTATATTTATTCATTTATTTCAGAAAAAATGGAAGCAACCCATAAAACATCTTCTCATCATTTTATAGCTATTCATACATTCCTTTTCAAAGCTGTGAAATTAAATAAGACAGGAATTAGATTTAATGTATCAGGGTACGCATTCTTGAGTAAATTAAAATGTATTCGTCACGTCGCAGATGATAAAAATTTATGTGTTCTTAATTCATTTTATGGGCTTTAAAAAATAAACTTTATTTTTATTTATTTTTTAATTTTTTATTCTTACATAAATGAACAAAAACGGAACCGCTAAAATGAATGATAATCAAATTAGAGCAGAAGGTAGAAGGTTATTTAAACGCTTCTATAACATTCCTGATGGTGTTAATCCTAAAACTCGTAGAAGTTATTTAAATGAAGCAATAGATTCATATGAAGGGTTTGGCATTTCATCAGAAAGTGAGAGATTAGCGAGAATGTTAAATGTTAATATTGATTTCTATTATTGTGATCCTCAACCAGAAGACGTGGACATAAATAAGGTAGACTTTCCATTAGTGGATTCAATAATGATAGATCCAGAATTTGAAACAGTAAATATTTTATTAACACAGAGTCCATGTGGAAAACTTCACGCTGACAGAATAACAGACGTTGAAGCACTCACCGGCTATAGAGTTTGTCCATATTGTAAAGAAGAAGTTTATTCTATCCGTGATGATCCAGAAAGGAAAAACCAAAGAAGATTTTTAAAGCATTGTGAGAAATGTAAAGAAAATAATGGAAGATTAATTCAAGACGTTCAGTTGCAAAAGACACAGCAACCATATGCACCACATATTACGAAACAGAAGATATATCAGTGGTTATTAGCTCATAATTTGCAGGAATATTATCAACCGACAAGATATTATATTACTTTTGACTTCGAAACATTAGAGACTAAAGAAGAATTACAACTTTCTGAGTGTGCAACTTTGAACGCTTACTTAAAACCATTCATGGTATCATCAACGGTTAAATTAAACGATAAAACATATACGAGGAATTTTTGCTTAACTTCGAGTGATTCTTTTATTTCTGATTGGATTGAGTTTTTATTTTCAACCTGTTCATTAGTTGCTAAATCAAATATTGAACAATATGAAGAATTAATGAAGTCGCAAACGGACTCTTTGAGTCCTGAAGGTCTTTCAGACCAAACGGCGGGGACTTTGTCCCATACATTAAATGAAAAACAGAAGGAAGCATTTAAAGAACTTCTAGATGAGGAATTTAATAAAGTGAATATCATAGGTTTTAATTCGGGAAAGTTTGATTTAAATTTAATTCTTCGTGATTTAAACACTGCAAAATGGAAAATAAAATCAATGCTGGGTTCTTCTTCTCAATTTAAGCAAGTCATTGTAAAGAAAACAAACGCTCCATATGAATTGAGATTTATTGACATCAGAAATTATATAGCGGGTGGGACATTAGACCAATTCACTCAAGATTTCGGAAACAATAAATCACGTGTTAAATCCTTTTTCCCTTATCAATTCATCACATGGGAGAATTACGAAGAAGAATTATATAATTCACGAAAGATTCATTTTATTCAGCATTAACCCAAGAAACTATATCAGATAGTGATTATCAAATATATCTCAATGATGCTAAAAACTTTAAGAATAGATTAGAATATTTTATTCATTATTGCAATAAAGATGTTGAAATTATGATTGACCCAATTGATAAAATTATTGAAGAAACATTTGTTTATAAAATTGATATGCTTCATAATCTTTCTTTATCATCGAATGCTTCAATGATTCGTTACGCTTTAGCATATAAAGACTTTAATCCTAATGAAAAATATCCTGAGGAAGAGATAGAATCAAGTTTTGAATTAACGAAAAAGTATTGGAAATATAAAATTGAATCATATAAGAAACAAGATGAAAAAGCAGAAAGGGATACTAAAAATAATGTTTCAATGGATGATTTTCAATACTATCACGATTTAATCCTTTCATCTAAATGCAAAATGTGTGGTAAAGCGTTTACATATGCAAATAAACCAACATTGGATAGAATCGATAATGAAAAACCACATACTAAAGAAAATTGTCAGTTAATGTGTTGTTATTGCAATGTCGTGAAATCAAATAAAGATGAAGATGTTCAACGTTTAAGAATCAATTTAAGAAATTATGCATTAAAAAATAATTTACCAATGACTTTAGATTCAGTTGAAGCTTATCACATTCTCCGTAATGGAATTACTGGTGGTTTATCAAATGTTCAACATAGAGTAAATCTTAAAGGAATCACGCACATTAATAAACTTTCATATAATCCAGAAACTAAAACTGTATCAAATGAGGACACCACCAACATCATGACTCATTTCGTTGGTGTTGATTTTAATTCATTATATCCTTCATCATTTTCATCTAATCCTCATGATTTCATTCAATATACTGACCATAAAATGTATATGCAGGAAGATTGAATGGTGTTATCATTTGTGATACAGCAACAAAGAAAGCAAAAGCATTGGGAATAATTAAGAAGAAAAATACTTTATTCGTGGCTGAAGTAAAGGGTCACATTGATGAAAAATACATTAATGATTACATAAACTTTTTACCGATAATAAGAAACTTAGATATTATCACAGATGAAAAAACAATTGGCAGTTTTATGTATAATTACATGAAATCAAACAATCTACCAGTTGACCAGAAACAGAGGAAATTAACTCAATTAGCATCAACACACAACCAATATCAACCATTTTCTTCTTATTATCTTTGGTATCTAATAGACAGATTTCATTTTATCATCGATGATATTCAATCAATTTTAACATTTACGAAAAACACTTGTTTTAATGAATTTGCGAACGAATTTATGAACGAAAGACAAAAGGCTGAATTAGAAGGAAATAAAGGAAAAAGTTTATTTTGTAAGATTTCGCTTAATGGATCATATGGTTACGATGCAATGAATACACAAAATTACGCAAAGACTAAAATAATGAATGCACAGAAGTCACGCGTTGCATGTATGTCAAATAAGTTTAAAAACAT